GCTCATGAAAGAAGTGGGAGATACGGTCATAGCTTTGGCCTGGTGGCTAGTGTGCTGGAGTTTTGATTGAAGGGTTCGAGCCTTGCCGAGTTATTGTCCTGTGATCTTTGGAAACACTTCATTCGCAAAGTGCCTCTCCACCCCGGGGTTTACAGATGGGTACAAGCGAACTTTTAGGAAAGCTTAACGAAATGCAAGAGGGTGACCCTCGATGGAGTGGTATCCCGGTTCAGGCAAATTATAGTCTTGGTCGCCTCAACTGAGCTATCGAAACCCGTCGGAGTAAGCCTCAGCATGATGAGCCTGCTACATCGTAAGCTGTCTTTCAAGTTTCTGTCCAGTATCATGTGAGAGACTAAAAACCATTCTGGCCGGGCATCTTGGAAAAAAAGGCAAAAGGTAAAGAAGAAAGCGAGACAAATTATTGCTGGTTTAATGTAAGTATATAAGACCGACTCGAACACAGAGCTGTCTGAGCGTACTCCCTTTTTTGTGTAGCATGAAGCGACTTCATAAGAAGAGATTGGGGTGCACTGATTGTTTATGAAAAAGATAACTAAAAAGTAGTGAATAAAAAAACAGGCTTCATTTATGTTTTGAAATAGTGAAGTTCGTGTCATTAGTCTTTCGAGAAATCACAGATCGCCAATTATGAAATATGTGATCCATTATATCATGGGTAATATTCTTGTTTGGCTTTATCCACTGATTTTAAATTGGCCACCGTGCAGAGTTTCTATAGCTGAAGTTTGGATTGCTAGCCCTGCGTCCGAGAAAATAGATGAACTGTGGGTTGCGTTTGTTTTAAATGCAGAAAATGGAGCTACGCTATTAATGGAAAAGACAAGAACAAAGGAACAGTTGATTTTATGATAAGAAAATATATTCAACTTTTACTCTATGAAGTCTTACCAAACACCGGAGGTTTGGAGGCTAAAGTTATCATCTTGTATTTTTTCCCAGGCTCTAACTCTAATTCCCTCACGTGACCTCTCTGTCAACGAAATGAAGAGCACAAATCAACCCATGTAGTTGACCGTTTTGTAGAGTGCGTTTTCAATCTGGACCGAGGCCTAGCGCGGGCCCTTTTTTTCTTCCCATTCCCCTCGCGACGCTGTTGCTCAAGGCCTCAGAGCCGACTTACACTCCACCTCCAAACATACAGGCTACGGCTACATATACACCTCATTTTGGAGATGTTTGACTTCGATTCACAGTACCTAGTTTGAAGACAGTGGTAACATCTGATCATGCAGTCTGACCGTTCGGGTTACGCTATTCCTCATTGGGGAGGACTGTTTTCAGTTGTGGTGACCGATGTTTCGACAACCTCAGGGAAAGAAATTATCAGAGTCAAGTGAAGAGTTGACTTCCGCTAAGGTTGTCGAAACGTCAGTCGCTACTCATACCAACAACAGCCCTTCTCCGTGATAATTCCATTCCGACGATCAGAGTACACGGTCAAACATATCAAATGACTTTGACACGGTGCTAAAGCACCTTAATTATGTCTGTAATGCGAGATTGTGACAAGTGTATATCTTTTAACGTATAGCTGAGCATGTCCGGGGAACTTTAAACAGACACTAATATATTCAAAACGCTAAATGGATAATTTTGAAGACGAAAGTCCCTGAATACCATACGCATTCACTGTTAAAACATAAAACCTACATTTCTTACACTGCCATTCAGTTAAGTCGTTTCTATTTACCTTGACTGGATCCCATCTAAAAAGGCGTTCGTGGTCGTCGCTAACAACACATGGTCCTTGATCCGCTTGCCTGGAACACACGCCGTTTTCACAAGAGAGATTAATTTGACTTCCAACATAACAGCTTACAAATCCAAACAGGGCAGTTAAAACCCAAATATAACTGGTATAAATTATCATATCTTAAATTTTTGCTATCTTCGCCTCAAATTCGATAGCAGCGAAGCTTGCAATATAATTTATCGATCTATAAGTTGAACTGGTATAGTTAAATTTTAGTGTTGAATTTTTTGTAAATTATTCAAAGCTTTAGCCCTTACTATCTTCAAATAAAAGATGGACATGTAAACTCTCATCACCAAATTTATACATTATTCGAAATTGAAGCTACGAGAATTTATTGTTTGAACTGGAAAATTCTCTCTGTTGATTATGCTGTTTATTCTCGCCACCTGCCTCTAAACTAAAAGTATCGACCATACGAGGAGAAAAGACATTTTGATCAAATGTTCAATAAAGCGAATACAAGCGCTCGCACAAGAGCACGAATTTATGTAGAGTACCTTTGCGGTACTGTTCGGTTACTAAGTAAAAGGTCTTCCCCTCGACATAGCTGGCTTTGATTATGTCGCATCTGGCTAACTACTTGAGAAAAAGAGGTATTATGTTTTATCAGTTTAGTCTCATTTCGACAGCCAATCCACCACGCTCTGTCCACCCGTGAACACCTGCTGTCTACCTCTTTCAGATTCAAAGCGCCGCAAAGAAAAAGGAAGAAGATTTTTACATGTGATGTAACTCTTCTAGTTTTACCTCGAACTTCACTCTCGGAAAACCGTTCACTTCTCGGAACAGATAATGTCCGCTGACAAATATCCGTGCATATTTTTGCGCCAACTAGAAGCAGATATTTATCTTTATCATGTTATTGATAAAATCTTTAGAATGTACGCATTTATATTTGGTTTCATTTCAGAAAATGACGAACATTGTCTTTTTGAATGCACCGTGATATTGGTTAGTATTGCATTTTAATTAGCTAAAAGTCGATATGTACAGAGTTCATGCGATGTACGGAAATCCCCGACGGTGAGGAGTAGGAGGGGTACTTATCAGTAATTCCAAATTATCAATAATGGCGAATTGATCCGGTTTACACAACAACACCGACAACAACAAAATTCTCATCGCATGCAACTATCCTTGTTGGAGCTGAGTAACGTAAAAGCATACCAACTACAAATAAGGAGCCTGTGGATTGTAAGATCACATAGAAGAACAGGCAACTCTATTTTCATACTTTAATTGAGATTCAGGTTCCATTCACATTTTCGAGTCTTCACTTGGCCACACACGAAAAGGAGCGTCTCAAAACGATGAGTTTTCAAAATGCTCCACTTTTGAGACCGTTTTCGAACCTCCTTGTCAGTTATGGTCTTTTCCAGGTTGCCAGACGAAAACGGACTCTTTTGAGAACCCATTATTGAACGTAGTCGGGGCTTTAAACAGCTTTACCAATACCAAGAAAAAAATGTAGTTCTATGAATCTAGGAGACCATTCTTTAATTCAGGTATAAATTAGTGGAATTAAGACTACAGAGAGTGGTCAAATTAGCGCATCATTAAAACAGAAGTTTCCCAAAACGATTTTGAATTCGCAAACACGCAATTTGACGAGATTTTTTATTGCGACAGCAGGGAGTTTTTTTTTGTATAGACTACCATGTAGGAGGCTTGGGTTCGCCTATCGGCAGAATATACCGAAGAACAAAACACAGCAAGTGTGATGATTAAAAAAAAAATTGCGAGCGAAAAACATCACGAAACGTTCGTATGCGATGCGAACAGAACCAATGGCACAGAGTTAACATGTAAATTAACATATGAAAAAAACCAAAGGAAATAGGCTTCAATTGTTTGACTTCTTATAACGGATGACAGATCAAAATAAGGTTAGTTCCACCGCTGTATATATCAACTTGAACTCTTTGTTGATGAGTTATTATATTTTCCTTTTGCATATGGGAGAAACTTATTGAATTGAACAGCAAATCGACGTGGGAGCTTAAAGTAAATCGATGTCCCAGCAGAAATAACCGGTGATTTTCAGTCAGGAAAACGCACCAGCACTTGCGTAAGCTTGTTAGGCCACCGAAAGTATACCATTTGTACATAAAACAATTCTTCCTAAATTATTGGTTTTACAAGTGATTATGGTTTTGATAAGGGGACTCATGGTAGTTTGGGATACATCGGTCAAAAATCCGCATTTCTTAAAGAATTATGTTTGCCATTACCATGCAACAGACAAAGAGACTCGTCGTGCTCTAGTATCGGAACTTTTTGATAAAAATAAACCAAGGCACTCTTAATGCCACTTCATGTGGCTCTTAGTTTTCTTGTTGGCACAGGTTTATCAGGGAAAATGTTAATGACATAAAGAATATAATCAGTTCAACATTCTCCACAGGCTCAATCACCGGCGCACGAGGAAACTTTTTTTATTAAATCTAAATTAAAGTCGATTTAGATAAATTTCACTGATTGACTTCGCTGAAACGACTTCCAACTATGAGAAAGTCAGGGGGAAATACTCAACTTCTCTGACGGTAACAATATCAGAAAGATTCCTGGCTAATGTGTCTGCGAATTGTTCATGAATCGGTTCAACACAGTTTGATTCAGCTTATTGTTTTTTTGATTTTAGATTGAACTGCAACGGGAGTTGACAAACACACCTGCTTTTTCGAGGCTTTAACATCTCTTTCTAATTATCCTTACCCAGTCTATTCAGCTACATGTTTTATTATGGCATCCTCACAGTGTCTGATCCTGGAGATTAAAGTGAATATTTCCATTACAAAAGCGCTTAAAAACTCGTTTTCAAGAGCCCCGGTGGCATTTCTATCAGATCAAAGAGTGGTCGAAAAAGAGAATGAGAGAGAAGAAGGACGCCTCCCGCTGGTAATTTTAATTTTGTGGTTCCTATGGTGAAGAAGACGACTCGTTTTGTTGGTTTCCTAGACCTATTATAAGTATAAATACAGCAAACCAAGAAACTCAATTAAATTGTGAATTACAGAAGTGCAGGTTATACAAAAAGGAACTAGTGGAATAACGACAAGGGCAGAAATTCAATCGCCGCACAACAGTGAATAGCGGACCTTAGGCGAGAAAGAAAGATACGTTCGGAACTGGTCCAAAGCCTTGCAAAGCTTCTAAACGTAGGCGCAATTCAGAACGAACACGTCGAAAGAAACGGAGTTCTCATGCAGTAGAAGTTGATCATCGCCCTACAATAAATAGCTTATCTAAAGCACAAAAGCAAGATGAGCTCGGATGTCATTCAAAACATGACAAAACGACTAAATTCGGGTGCAATTCAGAACAAGTCTTCCGAAGGCAACGGACTTCAAATCGACAGAGTGCTCGAGGCGATTTTGCTCTCTTTTTTGGCCCTCTTCGCTATCGTGGGAAATGGCCTTCTCATGTACGTCATATACTCAAATCACAATCTTCGAACTCTTCGGAATGCTTTTGTAGCAAGTCTTGCGGCTGCCGATCTCATGTTAGCTTGTACAGACATTATTTACCAAGCTGTGGAAAAGGTCATAATCGACTTTAAGCCTATCCACCCATCGGTTTGTTACATTATCTTGCTTAGCGGAGTATTGTTCGGTTCTGCTTCTGTGTTTAACCTCACCGCCATGACTTTGGTCCGTTACGTAAACATTCGCTACCCTCTTCATTTTAACCGTTACCTAACTGTCCATCGCTCTACTACCATTGTACTGGTGACTTGGCTAATTGCGCTTTGTCTCGCGTTCCCGCCTCTCATTTGGCGTCCGGAAGGCGTCGTGTGTTCGACAACGAAGCCTTCCGACGAGCACATCTTAAACGAAGCCATATACATGAGTGCCGAGTGGTTAATTTGGTTCATTATCCCAGCGATACTCATAACGTTTTCATATTATCGCATATACATGATCGCAAGAACTCAAGCCAGGCAGATAGCTGCACTAGAAGTGACTGCAGTCAGTGAAACAAATTCTAAGAATTCTTTTCCTGTAAGAGGACGAGCGTCGTCTTTGAGAGAAAAGAAAGCGGGGCGAATGGTGGCCATTTTGGTTGGATTTTGGGTTCTTTGCTGGCTTCCGTTCTTCACAGTGCTCACCATAAGTAAATTCAAGTCTCAAGTGCCAGGCTTTCTCATGCGTTTGTTTCTGTGTCTTATGTTTGCAAACTCAGCAATTAACCCTATTGTATTAACGTGGTATAACCGTGAACTTAAAGAAGCGATTAAGAAGTTGTTCTGTCGAGAAAAACAGCGTAACCAGTCGTTATCCATGGCAGAAACACGGTCAAACTTGAGAGGATCAACTTCTAGAACAGCATTTTAAACATGGCATACAAACTCATAAATAAGACTGATCAAGGGCGCTGGCTGGTGTTTCTCTCAGAATGTTTTAAACACCTACTGAGAAGGGAGGACAAAATGTAAGAGCATGCCGTGTCAAAAAAAGTATTATTACTCGCAAGAAATAGCTCTGGATGGTACTTTAAACGAGTGAGTTTTTACCCCTTAAAATCCATTCAAATAAGTCGCAATCTTTGATTCTTTATTACGTACAGAAAATAAATCTAATCAAATTTTATGATTACTGAATCGTTATAAACTCAAGGTTAATGTCATATAGGATCTCAAACTCACAGCAAAAGAAATCACCTTGTGGCAAGGACAATAACTCTTTACATGACATCAAATACAAAATATCAGACGGACCTAGTCTCGTACATATCGAAATCTTTCACGGCCAAGCGGTTGCAAGATCCTACACTGTGGATCTGGGTACAAGGTTAAGACGGACCAAAGACTACCACTACTCTGACGTAGACCATTTAAACTCAATTAAGGCAATAAAAGAATGTAAGGCTTTCTTTGCCAATCTTGATTTTCGTTGAATAAACAAAAGGATTGTTTTATAGGTAAATGAAAGAAGAATTGTTTTGCTTTCAATTGTTGTTTTTGGTGTCAAAGCCATAGCAAATTTCAACCAAATATACAAGGCTTGTTCACTGAATAGTGAAAAAAAAATTATTTGTAGTTCTTTTTTATTTTCCATCCTAAATCATCCATTACAGGAACAACTCAAGTTTTGATTAACAAAAATTGTTGAAGCGCCCGATATGGGACTTGAACCCATGACCCTCAGATTAAAAGTCTGATGCTCTACCGACTGAGCTAACCGGGCGATTATTATTTACCTGCTGGAAAAATTATGTGTATAAAACAAGAACTCCACAGAAGTCACAAACTGCTATCAAATGAATTGGTGTTTGCCGGCGACGTCGAATTACGACTTTGCCGAATTTGTGGTAAAACGTAGGCTTTTCTTTTGCTTTTCAGCACGTTTTTGCCAAGTAAGCATACACACAATTCTTTCAAAGCCTTTTGAAATTCTGAGCCAAGTGAACAGAGGATCATGGGATTGAAGCAGCTGTGAGACACTTGAAACATCCGGAACATATTCTCAATCGTTTCATTGTACTGCCATTCGGCATACATAGGGAGACTGTCAAATAACGTGACAATGTTGAAAGGCAAAAAGCAAACGACAAACACGACAATAATTATTACAAGTAGGCGCATTGTTTTGATGTTCCTCGTGGTTCGCATCCTCTCTATGTCACGTGATGCAAATGCGTCTGCAATGAAGGCGAGCTCGTTTCTAAGCTTGCGCATTACTCGGCTATACGCCCATGATACAACGATACAAGGCAAAATTAACGTCATGATAAGCCGGAATATCTTCGTCACTGTCCTTATGGCGAAACTCTGCTTGATTGGGTCACACTGTAAAATTCCTTTCTCAGTTGTTAGTCCAAATACAAAAAACCTTGGAAGGCCAAATGCAAAACACGACAAAATCCACACAAACACGATGATGAAAAACGCCCTCCCACGTGTCATTTTTAGTGCCAGAGGATGCACTACTGCTTGATATCTTTCGAAACTCAGAGCTACCATCGTGCAAACAGAAACACCCGTAAAAATGAGAAACGATGGACGAGACAACTTGCATAGAAACTCATTAAAAGGCCATGAAAAACATTCACTGAATACGACAATTGGCAACGAAAAGAGCAGAACAAACGTGTCAGAAACAGCCAGGTTGACAACTAAGTAATTAAATGGCGTATGCAGCTTGGAATCTCTGGATACGATGAATATGACCAAAAAATTCCCAAACACCCCAAGAAAGAAAACAGCGGCATAGATAACGAAGATAAAAACGGATAATGGTTTTGACACACAAACAAGCGGGTGATCACTTTGTTGGGTTGAATTCTCACCAGGCTGATTGAAGTCGGAAGTTTCTTCCAACGCCGTGGCGTTCATCACAACAGATTAATGATTACTAGTTGTTGCGAAGTTCTCTTTGTTGACAGAAATCTTCTTGAAGAAGGAAGATGAGGAAGGCCTGCCAAAGATGCCCTGGCAATGATCCTCTGGCAATGATCCTCTTTCCTGCAGGCTTTAGATCAGTTGTTTGCTAGAGTATTCTTAATTGTTTTCCATAGGATACTTTCCTGCCCCAACGAAAAACCTCTAATCAGTAAATACTGACTCTTACACTGGAGTGCGGAATGAGACTGAGCTTTTGACTTTTTTATTTGTATGATTCTTCTAATACATGCTGCTCTTTCGCAACGTCAATATACTACCTGCCGGAGACAATTTTATCCAAGAATATCAAACTGAACTGAAATTTATTGTTTGACGTTAACAATCTGGATAGCCTTTCCCATTCAGATTTTTTTAAAACTTTTTTCTCTAGGATTTTCTTAGGAGGGTAAATAACATTCCGTTCATCAGTTGTTGGAATAATCTCCATCTTATATTTGTCAAAAATTCTCGCTTCAGGCGAAGGCAGTATGAATAATTAAAAGATTTCATCATTCGTCGTTGATACTCTTTCGTTAACCGAGCTATTAAACTGGAAGGGATTGTTTTTCACCGTTTCTTTAATAACATTCTCTATCAGTTATCACTCCATCGATCTCCAGACAACCATATCAGACTAGAAACAGGTGCACTTTGCGAAAACCAAGATGAAGGATAAAAAGGATTGTCGTTCAGTGTCCTTACCCATGTATTATTAACTAAGTGTGAGATAAATTCAGCAGCAAAAGATTAAACCATTTGTAAACCGATAAGAAAATACCTTATATACGAAAATAACTCACTGACCTGTTTTAATGCCTGGCGTGCAGAATATATAGCGGAGGTGGATAAGCTTAAGTTTGTCAAATATCCGTGAATGGTTTAGATGTTACTTCGCCGAACGCAACTACATGCAATAATAATATTACGCAGAACTCTAATTATAATCTTGGCTCAGATCGCAAACAAGCCCAGAAGTCCAGCTGCTCGCGAAAATTGTCAAACAATGAAGACAAAACATTAATTGCGCGAGATTTTACTAAAATGAAAATCATGCGTTTTGTTCTGGACCTTTCAGTTGTGCTGCGTGTTTTAAGGTGCAATGCACCTAAAAAAAATTGTACATTTAGAAACTTAAAATCCCCGAGGCTGTAAGTGTCTCTAAGGAAAAGATTTCTTAATCAAAAATAAGCTTTTTCAAAGTAACATTGTAATAATGTCGCCTCATTCAAGAAGTCGAAATTAACTTAGTTATTAATATGGAAATTGTTCTGGTAAAAACAAAATGACATTTCGAGCTGAAGTTTGGGATAAATCGACTTTGTGTTTTATAGTTTTGTTGTCAGCCCCATGCATATCAAGTCCTCTGCAAATATGTTAGGTTTGCTCAAGAAGTTACCCATTTAGTTTATTTTTCCTCCTAACTCATCTTTACGCATAATTGGAAATTTTTGTGGTAAAAAGGAAAATGACATTTCAAGCTAACGTTCGGGATTATCTGACTTAACACATCAAATATTTAATTTCTTTCTTACATCTTTGCATTTCACTATCCATTTTTATTATTTGATTTTATTTCTCTGCCTTTTTGTCACACTTAATGGCCTCATAACTTGCTCAGGTTTTTGAAAAGGAGAGGGGAAGAGGGCGAGTGACAAAGAACCGTCCTGTTTGTCACGGAAGCAGCCGCTACTGGGTTTTTCTTCCCCTGACTTTTGCCGTTTTATGCACAACCGCTCTTGGGATTATTTCCACCAACCAAGAGCATGACAAGGGCTACCCGCCAGTCGAACACGAGCGAAAATTAGGAAGTAGAAATTTGAAATAATGTCTACTAGAATTCACCCATGCATAGCACCAATATGACTGACCTCAGGAGAAGGGTGAGTTTTGTTTTCCTTAAAACCTCACCTTTCCCCTCGGCTTCGTCTCCGTAAACTTTCAGGGTTTTAAGCAAAACGAAACTCTGCTTCCCTTGTTATTCCTCCCAATTCCAATACGTTTGTACGTGTCACGTGCCATAGGTCAAATCTCACTGGTCCCTAGGGAAGCAACAACCAGAAGTTTTTATGTCGTGCATCTTGAGACCGCAGTAAAGTTGTGTGCTACCCTGCGTTCGGAAAATGTATTTTTCTTGGCTGTGGAAACCTTGGGGAAACAGAATTCACTGATTTCCTTGTGGCCTTCATATCAAAGCACAATGGTGTAAAACTGTTATGGTCAGCCCTCTCCTCCAGGGGTTATGGGATCAAGACGCTAGGCGCTTTTAAAAACTTTGTTCAATCAATATATCCATTGGAAGCGTAGTAGAATTAAATTGATTTCCTGAACAAGTTCAAGTTCCTAGCCCCTCAATATGTAACATTGGCTTAGCGGTCTGATGATCATCCTAACGAATGAAGTTTTCCCCCATTAGCGCACATACTTAAACATCAGAATTTCATTGCCATGTAGACTATTCAAAGTAGTACTGAGAACATTTCGGATCGAATATCTTGGATTTTTTAGTCGAAAGGTTTTTCAGTTTTTCGTCTGGAAAAAAGACTCTTTATGTGCTGTTGTGTTCCCCATTCTATCCCCCTTTTTATGATTGCTAGTTTGGCGCTTTTCTTCCTGAAAAAGTATTATTTCTACGTATTGAGGGTTACATAATCGAACAAAAACAACAAGTCCTAAAGGGCAAGGTTTTCATCGCAATCAGATTAATGAGATGCGTGATTAGCAAGCCTTAACACAACAAAAACAACATGGTCTTGTGACTGAAATTTAACACGTGTTATGACGTTGTCAGCGAATAAAGACTATCCGAGTGTTGTAAACAGCAACGCATATCGATAGCACATCACATTTTCCTCACTGCATCAAATCGACTCAACCATGTTCGGACTTTTGGCGTGGAGTCTCCTTTGCCTTATGCCTGGCATTGCGTCAAGCTTTCCTGACGATACACCAAAAGTAGAATTGGCCTTGTATTACGAGAGTTTGTGTCCTGACTGCCAATTATTCATCAGACAGCAGCTTTATCCAACGTACCTCAAGGTCAGCGATATAATAAACCTGACACTTGTCCCGTATGGAAATGCCGAGGAAAGAAAGATTGGAGACAAGTGGGTTTTTCAGTGCCAACACGGGCCAAAAGAGTGCGAGGGGAATCTCATTGAGACTTGCGCCATTTCGCTCCTCAAGGACATTTCGGCATCGCTACCTTTTGTTTATTGCTTTGAGAAGAATATCGAGGGTTCTGAAGAACCTACAACAGTGGCCCAGAGCTGTGCCAAGTCTCTGAAAATTGACTATGATTCAATCGAAGCTTGCGTGAGTGGTCCTTTGGGGAACGAACTGGAACACAAGATGGCCGCGATGACAGATGCGTTAGAACCACAGCACCAGTACGTTCCGTGGGTGACCGTAAATGGAAAGCACACTGAAAAGATTCAGAATATGGCCCAAAGAAATTTGCTGAAGCTTGTCTGTGAATACTACACTGGACCAAAGCCAAAGGATTGTGAAAAGCAAGAGTTTGGCCGATGTTACAAAAAGGTTTTTCCTCTAATCGAGTTAAAAAAGGCACTGCGGGTTGCGGCTCCAGTGAGTGAGCTGCATTGACGACATTACATTATTGTCAGCAACGCACCTGTGTAACTTTGTATTGAGGCTACTATGAATTGAAATGAATCTAATCAATTGTCGGTCACTTTTTCATTGAATGCGGAAACCCCCCACAAACAGAAATGACTCAGCACATGCTTTTAAGTCTTCCAACCTTCTCTGTTCTAGAAATATTTCCTTTATCTGACCGGGTTTTTTTTTTTTAATTGAGAAATAACAGCCACTTCTTGAGGAATTGAATGACTTTCCTGTAATCGGATCCTAGCAAAGGCCGGGGATCAAACATAGCAAGTTACTAAAGGAAGTTTGATTGTCTGAAAAAGTTCTCGAATTTCGAAAGGACATTCAATCTCAAAAATATTTTCGTTAGTGTTCAGTTTATTAACACCGGTTTATTTCGAACAATTTCTTGTTAATCTATTATTATAACGTAATGAGATCGTTTATCGTTATGTGAAATCTTTTACACATCAAAATGATCTGTACGCAAAATCACTCCAATAAATGTTCAATCGAACCTTCGCTGAAGTTCATTCTTAATAAATATGGCCAAAGGTTGTTTCGACAGGAGGTAAAAGGGTTTTGGAGAGAGAAAAACGCTTATTCGCTGCTGTCTCATCAGAAATGGATTTAGGATTTAGATTTGATACGAGGGAAGTGTAAAGAAGGTTTATTGTACAATCGTCATTGTCTCGACACGTTACATAACTAGCTATCTTATATCTCTCGAAACAACAATGCCTAAATCCGTTTCTCAAAAATCTCTCCAAAATTGTCTTTGGGACGTCGAAGCAACCTTTTGCCATATACAGTTTTATATGTTTCCTTCCAGCCACTTGCAATGTTTGACCCCTGGCGATCCTAGAAAGCTCTGCGCAAACACAAGGATCCGATAGGATCACAGCTGCTCGCAGAAATAACTGTAACCCTTTCTGTACCTCAAGTATACCGGACTAGGTTCGGGCCTGCATTATTTGTCGTTTACTGGTTGCAATTATTGGGAGGCGCTCTTCGCATCCCTCTTATGCGTAAAAACACGCATGAGAGGGATGCTACCTTGACAGGCTACTAAGGCCACAGTCATAGAATTTTAAAAAGCAATTCAAGGGATGTTGTATGTACAGCGCCAGAGAGAGAACTGAACCAACGTTAAAAAAAGAAAAAAAAATGCACGAAAATAAACAATTAATTTTTGTTGCTGAAAAACGAAGGACAATTTCGGGCAATAAAAATCAGTCTCGTGAAAAGCACATGACCTGGATGCCAAACCCGCTGCGAGCAACCGGAAAAGCAGTAATAATTATTTTCCCTCCCCCTGCCCCGGTCCAGTACTCATCACCCCTACGCCAAATATCTATCGTTATTGTCCCGGCTTGATCTAATTAGTCCATGAAACCGGCCATAATACGCGTTTAAGAGTATAAACGAAAATGGAATCGATAGGTAAACGAAGAAAACAAATACAATGACCCCTCCACTTGCTGTCGTTATTATTGATTATCAGGGGTGGGGTGGGGATCAGATTTGAGCAGGAGGACTGAAAACGAGCCAAAAGGCTGTAAATAATCCGAGAAAACTCTCTTGAGTCGAAGGAATAAACACATAGGGGAGAAAGGTAGTTAAATCAAAACTAGAGCAGATATTTAGGTTAAGAATACGGCCGTTCATTCCTAAACAAATCTTTTTTTTTTTTTACGACTGTTGCGTAACGCAAACATATGTACTATTTACGGAGGCTTATTGTTCAGCTTAGGTTACCAATGCTTACCTGTCCATCATGCGAACTCCAACCACCCCCGGAACAACTTTGGAACCATTTTAGGTATTACACCGCTGGCACAATATAGCCATGTGCTTTTCATGAGAAAGTCACGCGCCGTCTCTATGCCTGGGTATAAAGGTTGGAATGCTTCTGATTAGAATCAGTGATCCTTTTCGTTGCTAAAATGAAATTCAAGCTGTGCATGCTCTCCGTCCTTCTAGCTGCCCTCCCTGTGTTCTGTGTCGGAACACCGGTAGCTGCACCAAAAGTTGAAATAGCGCTGTACTACGAGTCGCTGTGCGGAGGATGCAGGCAATTCATAGAGACTCAGTTCTACCCAACATTCCAGAAGGTTGGCCAGATCATGGAGGTGATCCTCGTGCCGTATGGAAATGCACAAGAGAGTCGCTATGGGGATGAATGGCGATTTACATGTCAGCACGGGGAGGCAGAATGCGTCGGTAACCTCATCGAAACATGCGCTATTTCTATCCTTCAGAATGCAACATCTTACTTTCCTTTCATCCACTGTCTGGAGTCGACCATCGCCGGATACGATCCAGTGTCAGCAGCAGAGCAGTGTGCAAGTCAATTTGGCATAGATTTCTCCTCCATTGACAAGTGCCACTCGAGTGCCCAGGGAAATGCCCTGGAGCATGAAATGGCTCTGAAGACCAACGCACTCAATCCTCCCCATTACTTCGTTCCATGGATTACGCTGAACGGGAAACACACCGATGAAATACAAAACGAGGCCACGTTTGATCTACTAGGACTTGTGTGTGACACTTATCAAGGCACTAAGCCTGATGCCTGTCAAAAGAAAGAGTCTGCGCTTTCTCGCTGTTATAGGCACGCGTAATGAAAAAGGCATTTTAAAAAACGCTTTTATAGGAATACGCATGAACTCAATTGTAATTTCATGGTTAGCCCATTTAATTGCCTTTTTATGGAATTGTATGACCGTTGCGATCTTCTGATAACCATTAAAACGGTTAATTACGAAACAATTGTTTTAAACATTGTCTTTGATTTCGCCTGGTGATCTCCGTCAAACAACAACTGACTACAGCTGTTACCGCGCGGTTGTGTCGTGTTCTATCCTACGCGCCTGAAACGGAATGAAGAAAGTTAGTGCAGCATGCAACGGTTTCTGTCTACAGGCCAAAGTATCGTATTTGTAATTTCGAATTCATTACTATGTTAAAATTTGCTAAATATTGCATTTGGAATAAAAGAACTTGAAATGAAAGATTGCGTGACATGTGTTGACATTGATTGTGCGCTCAAGAGAAAAACAAGCTGGATAGCCTACATTTTCGTTCTTTATTTCGACACCTTAATTCTAGTATTAAATTTAACGCTAGTTTTAATTCTTCGTGGCGATGACTGTGTCCTGTACACTTAAAAGTGCACCTTTGTGACTACTGAGGGAAAAAGAAACCACCCATATCGTTCAGTATAGCGTAACTTAGTATCAGCCTGTAAAGTATCAATAAACAGCCCTTGTTATATATGTGGTCTATCTTTAGGTTAGTCACGTTCGTCACGTAAACCAACGATAGACTTCTGGAAACGTTCCTCATTGCGTGACTGAAACTCCAAAAAAAATTAAAATAGAATAAAAGCTTGTCTGGCTTTCAGGCTACCCTTACGGCTTGTCTACGAACGTGTATGTCCTGGAAGAAAAATACGATCACGTTCTAGTTGGCAGACCATGTCAGAGGCCTTGTCAAGCTCTCGTAACGTAGTCTACCTCAATACCTCGCGCTATGTACCGCTGATTCAGGAGTCCCCGTTCTCTGCGGGCCTGGACTAAAGTATCGGTGAGGAAATTTATTTTGCCTTCTGTTTCTAATCTCTGTTATGAAGCGATCTTTAAGGAACTTTTCACGAAAAGTTCCACATAAATCGATTACTTGTTTTAAGGAGAGGATCATATGCATTAAATGCATGTTACTACAATGTCTGTCTCTCCTTTGTCGGGGAATCATCTGCGCCCTCCACGCTTGAAGTCGAAACTAAAACTAAACTACTCGTGGAAAGCTAAGTGGAACAAATTTTCCTTTTTTTCATAAACACACCGGGTAAAACTTTAGTTACACTTTGTTTGTTTGGTGGCTTAATGTTTTAAGCGATTGTCTGACAGGTTCCATACACTGACTTGTCAAAGAACACGTGGTATGAATGAAGGCGACGGTGTTTGATTAAGGAACAGAGTTAAAGAATTGGTCAAATAGCAGCGTAAGAAAATTGATTCTATTGTTCTTAGTATACGGGCCTGTTAACCTGTGCAGTAGAACGGAATAAAAGGCAAATTGTTGTTTTCTCACCTGGTGAGAAGTTGAAGTGTTTGGTTTATTGAATCTGTTAAAACCTGTCGATCTCAAGAAGTTATCAAAACAAAAAAATCATTATTAACACCTCAGTTTGTTGAGTTTCTGTAAAACATTTACAGATAAAATGAGTTTCATTTCAAGGGTATATCGACACTTAATCTCAAATGACAAGTACAGTTTTAAAATTTGCATACACCTGGTTGAAATCCCAGCGATTAAGAGATCCGACTCCCATGGGGATTTTTAATCATTTATAACAGTGACTTGCTGGGTCAATCTGGTACCATACAAATATTTTTTTTCAAAACTTCGCCATTATCCGCGTGAACATTTCAACGATGGCCTTATTCTATTCTGTAAAAGTTGTATATATTTTATCTCTAGTTACCTTTAAATTTGCACTTTGCCAAGATAAGTATTCTGATCCATCGAATTCTCGCCATGAAAGCTGTTCTGCTAACGACCATGCTTGTAAACGACGAGAGATTGATGATGGTGTTAACGAAGGTCCCACATTTGTCGGGCGAACCGGATTAACACGACTTGACGGGGTGAAGGTAAGTGACTTAAACTGTAAATCGGAAGTTGTCACGATCTAAGTTTAATCTTTCTTGTGGCCTTCTTTGGATGAGCCATTCCTCAATTAACAAATTTTTTAATACGTGAAATCAGTCGGCGGACTTGAACCTTTCATATCTTACTTTTAAAATATAAATTCTCATCACTGATGGTTATATTTTTCTCTCGACGTTCGCTCTGAGAATTTGGTATCGAATCAAACTAACAGTTGGTGATTCAATTCTTCTCACTCGTTTCCTTTGCTTTGTTTAACTCAGGAGAAAACCAATGTTGAAATCGTTGTTAGTAAAGAATTTATGGTTAAAGTAACCATGTAATATGCTAAATAATCTCTCAAAAGATAAAAAAATACTACCGTTCAGTGTTTTGTTTGAGGGGAGAGTGTTTATTACTTATTTGAACTACAATCAATTGCATTTATTTTATGGATGACCAATAAAAGATAAACCAGTTCCGACCGATTGAAAAAATTTTCCTCAAACTTAGATTTTCTTTGATTTCGTCAGGTTGGTCACGTTGAGGAAGTTGATTTAGGAGATTGTCACAGAAATCGAATTACGAGGGCGATGAAACCTCTGTTATTTGGTAAGGTGTATGCCACAGGATGGATCAGGTCTTTGTTTCTCGGATAAGGACGAAAAGCTGTAGGCCCCGTCTCCTGCATCTTCTCTGTACTGGTTTGCAGGGAACGTTAAAGAACCCACACACTTCTCTCAAAGAGTAGGGAACGTAGTTCCCGGTGTTGTTTTCTGGCCTTGTTTCTGAAATTGGGGGCATCTGCAAAATTTACCTGTCAAAAAATTGTAAATTTCTCAAGGCAGTCTGGCCCAAATTCCCCCGCAAAGTGTTGTAAAGCGCCATGAGCTAAATGGATAAGTAAAAGTAAAGCCTTTATACGGGCCCAAGTGGCCTATGGGGCCGGCGCTTAACTCCGGTTTCCTTAGCATGAAGCGGCTAGGAGTATTGCTACTCCCCCCTAGATGGGATGCTAGTCCATCGCAGGGTTACCCCCAGCATATTTGCTGGTACCCATTTGTACACCTGGGTGAAGAGAAGCACCGTGAGAGTAAAGTAAAAGCCTAAGAACACAACACAATGACCACGACCAGAGCTCGAACCCGGACCACTCGATCCGGAGTCGAGCGCACTAACCACGAGGCCACCGCGCCTCCACTAAAAATGGGTAAGACGCTATAAAAATCCTTCATTATTAATATTTATTATAATTTTATTTTTTTCTTGTGACTAGGACAAGATTCAACCGATCTTGCGTACCTAAATGGTTGTTTTCAGCTCGGAGAGCTCAAATTCCTATACAACAGTTTATATCTTACCTTAATCTTTTCCTTTTCACACATAAGGCAGTAAGAACTTATTCGTACTCTCGTCACTCAAATATTTGGGTGCTAAGAAAAAAGATTACCAAGAGATAGTATAAGACAGGGTCCGTAATTACCAAATTACTTTGAACGCCCTCTCCATCGCATGACTGAGGTTGTTCCTTTTTAGGGGCCCGTACTGATAATGGCACAGTGCGTGAGCGATCTGCACTTCGCTACTCCGCCTTCGAGAAGCTGACTTTATTCTTCACTCACTAATGCAAATATAGATATAGATTCAATTGAAATACCTGGTTTATTTTCTTTTTGTGTTGGTGTTTTATTGTTATTTTGTTTTTGTTTTCGCCAGAAATACCACATTTTTTAACCAATGAAGAATGTGACTACATAATAAAGCTAGCTGAAAACAATGGCCTGTTATCAAGTACGGTTAGGGGAGGTCTTACGACAGAAAAAGATTTAGAAATACCGAAAATTGAACGTAAGTAGTTCACGATAAGGTTATAAGGTTTCTAATAGATTAAGCAGCCTAATAAATGAGTGCATCACTGGACTCTCTCCAGAAAACAACCGTAAATTGGCCTCGATGAGCGCGCAATTGGGCTGTGACATTAAATTTTTGGTCATGTATGGCTCGAACACCTTTTCAACCCAAACTGGAAGGAAATATTAAGGAACCCACATGACTTTTTTAGGAAGGTGTGGAACGTAGTCACTTTTACCATTGTCTCATCGTTTGGCCTGTTTCACGGGCGTTCCATGGAGCCGGCCATAGGTGTCTTCACAACACTCATTGGAACCTTTTATGTGCACCATCTATTTACCAGTTATCAGGTTCACCGCAATAAAGGTGAACAATGGTAGATATTTACCGACCTGCTGGTAAGAAGCGTGGAAAACCCTGCAAAATTTTCTCACCGATATGGCTGTGATGAAAGTCAGTTACAACACCCTCCAGAAGACACGCATGACAGAATTTTACTTGAGTCCAAATTCTGGTTATGACATTAACTATGTTTTTTTCAAATATCTCAGATGGCAAAGCTCAAGATGTAGCGGGAATCTTTGGTGCTTGGGACATAAATAATGACCGAAGAATTACAGTGGACGAGGTAGGCAAACAAACAACAACAAAATCAATTTCACATTTCATTCCATCAAAATGTATAGTCAGCACCTTTTCTCGTGAGAGTATAGAGCGATAATTGTAGCCCCTGTTTTCTATGGCATATATTACTTGTCATGTCGTCATTGCGTCGCGTCATGTCATGCACTACATGTCATGTCATTTTCATAAGTTTTCCATGTCACTTTAGCTCACGTTTTTTTAGTTGGATTCCTTCTCTCGTGACATCTTAGTTAATATAAGTTTTGTGTCTCATGTAGACCTCCCAGACCACGGTACATTCGTAAGCGACCATATGTATCTCCTTGTCTTAAAGTCGTCTTAACATATAGAATTATTGTTGAATTTTTGTCTTTAGGTTGTCGAGTTCGGAAAGAAATATATTTACGCCGTCTTCAGCGAAGAAGATTTGATAGAGTTGTGAGTCATTTTCTTATACCCTTAACTACAGACAGTAAATTAACGTTGGGCTGTATTACTTTAAAGAGCACCTTTGATAACAATAAATAGTATTTATTATCTCACAACTTATGATTTTTTATCTAATGTACCACAGACTTCACAAGGTGAACGTTACTGAGTTGGACGATGGTAAGTTTCGCTTGTTCTACCAGCCTGCTTTTTAAAGCTAAGCTCCTTTTTTTGCTCTGACGAAGGGCTAACGCTCGAAACGTCAGCTTTCAATTAAATTTCAATTAACGGTGGCCAATTTTAGTTATCAACTCAGTTGATAATACCAAATTACCTTGTTATACTCTCCCACCGACGTAACTTCACTGTTTCTTTAGAAACTACCAACTTTATGCTTTTTAAGCGTCTGTTATTTATCTTGTCTCTGCGCATGCATGCACTTTGCCCAAGATAGCCAGGCGTTCCTTTCCACTACGCCATTTTCAAGTCTCTGTATATTTATGATGTCTCTGAAGAAAAAACAAATATTAGGAAAGCATTGTGTAAGTTGATAACGTCCTAAGTTATGAGAGTTAAGGCTGCACTTCAAGTTCTCAAGGATATCAGGTCTGCAGGAAAGAAATCATTAAGATTTGCTCTATAGGACATGCGCTTATGCAAGGCTCAAATAAATTTATTAAAAAATAATTAAATTTTCTGAATTTATTTCTATTTTACCAAAAAAAATTATGGTTCATCATTTTCTCTTGACGTTACAAGGAAACTTATTATTATTCGTGAATTCTCGTCTCTAAACGTGAATACTTAACGGCACGATTCAAAGCGTATGCACGAAAGCTGCCCCGAGCTTGACTTGAAATGTAACGTGTTTTCTTTTTCAGGAGTAATCACGCCTGAAGAGTTCGAGAATATGAATACTCGTGGGGCTGACACTATAATGGCACATGCAGGAAAAACTCATCCTAAATACAGGGCTCGCTATAGTTATCAGACCTTTTTGAACCAGAGATACCTCAAAGATCCTACCTTAGATAGAATCATTGAAAGGTATGATTAATGAATCGAGCATTTTTCGATTGATTGTTGTTAAATCAAAGCTATGGTAAAGAGATCTAGATAGCAGCAGGTATGTCAAGAATTTAAGAAAATATGCGACCTTCTTTAAAAACATGTTTCGACAGTTCTTCTGTCATCTTCAGTTCTGATTTATACAAACTACAAAGTTGAATTTAAGGTGTATAACAAGAATAATATTCGTCCAATGAGCGTTTTGTTATGCACTTTAAATTCAACTTTTTACTTTGTATAAATTAGAACTGAAGATGACAGAAGAACTGTTGAAACATGTTTTTAAGAATGTCGCATATTTTCTTGAAGCCATAGTAATCACAACGGATGATCTGGAAAAAGGTAAATACCCTAAGGAACCAATGAGAACACAAAGTAAAACCGACCAAACTTCCTAAAGCGCGGGAAAGCGCGAGCGACCAAGTCGTGACTGGTTTTAGTCTTGCATCTGATTGGTTGACAGAATGGCGCGAGTTTTCTGGACCATTCGTAGAGCGAAGTAAAACAAAAGGAAAGCAAACCCACATTGTTTTTGACACTAATAAATACATGCGTAAAAGACAAGAGATAATGTTTGGATGGATTGAGGGATGGATGAGTATTCTAACTGACTACTCTAATCTCACTTGCCTCCCGTTGCCTTATCGATTTCCCATTTCCGAAACCAGATACAATCCATGTATATGACCTATCAGACAGTATTTTAATTTTCGTAATTCTTTTCCTAGAGTAATTAAGTTAACAAAGCTTCCAAGAGAAATCATTTATGGAAGTGAAAGACTCCAGGTGAGAATAAGTTTGAGATGAACTTTCTATCAGTTTTAGAGTATAATCATTTATAACATCTTGGGATGTCCATGAATCGCAACCTTTCGAATGCATACAGCGAGTCCTCTTCATTTCTACTACAAGTGAACTTAGATAAAAAATATGCTGGAGGTAACGTGCAACAAATTAAACTGGCAAACTTTTTACCCACTTTGTGCTTTAGAAACCAGAAGAGTACGTAGGTGTCCATATGAGACCAAAATGCAGACTTTACTTTTAACAGAACTCATTTCATTGCTCGTTACGTTTCCTTTCAGGTTGTTTATTATGATAAAAATGGTCATTACCACGCCCATTATGATTCTGAAACTCACCTGAGGAGCGACGTGCCCTGCTGCCATCAACAAAATGAAGTGGATATGTTGAGCTTTGAGAATCCCTGCAGGATTTGCAGGTTAGATGTTCTGCCTTATATGTATTCACGGAAAAAGTAGTTAGTGTCTAAAATGACTGAAGAGACTCACTTATGCGTGATCAGTTAGTTATGAACAACCAATTGAGCAAAAATGAAAGCCTTCTGAAAACATACTCCGAGCCTTACTTTACTCCATGATACCCCGCTCTACTTTTAATAACTTAGTTTGACTTTTTTTTTTAAACAACTTCTACTGTGCTTGAGTATTATTGCCTCTCAATTCTGTTTTGGCCAGTGAAGGTTGACATTAATGATCGTCAACGGTAACTATCATCTCGGAAATTTTGATTTCCAAATTTTGTTAAAACGGTTAAAGAAAAGCTCCCGCTGTTGTAAAATTATGAATATGACACTCGACCAGTAAAAGCGAGTCTAAGCTTCACGGAGCTTCATTGAATAAGTTTACTTTACAAGCCATGAAAATTGCCTGATATTTTCTCCTCTCCTAGGTACATTACCATTCTATATTATCTTAATGACGTGGAAGGTGGAGGTGAAACAGCCTTTCCTGTTGCAGAAAACGAAACCTTAAATTTTGAGGTAGGTGATGAATTCAAAACAAAATGAGGAACTTTGGAGATGACAAGACTTATCATGTGACCGGAAGACCCCGCGTGCGCAATCCCAAAGAAAACCATAGTGAAAGCTGGGGTCGGACGGATCGTCGTAACTCGGTCTCTTGCTTTGCAAATAGAATTCTATAACATCGACATAAATCGATCAAGGCTAATGGTAGCGTCTATTTATCTTTTCAACAGTACTTAAAAGACAGTCGCGGCACACTGGACTATTTTAATCTGAGTCACAACTGTCACGTGGGAAACTTAGTCATCAAGCCTCGAAAGGGAACCGCTGTGATGTGGTATAATCACTTTATGGATAAAGAGAGCGGATGGCTGGGAGAGATGGACCAGTATAGTTTACACGGAGGATGTGATATCACAAAAGGCGAAAAATGGATCGCTAATAATTGGATCAGTGCTCCATATAAAGATTCAGCTCACATTCGAAGCTCGTGGCTGAATTTTTACATATAAGACCAACATACATGGACTTGCAGGTTGAAAGGACTCGTGGGAAATAGGAAATTGGGAACTGGTCATTATTTATCGCCTGGGGTGGAGTAACCCTTCCCCCCTTCATTAACAGTTAATAGGAAGCCAATTGCCTGTTGGCGACGACTAATCCCTCGTCTGTTACCCTTGAAAAACAAGTGATGCCCGGCATAAAAAACCCCCAACCGCTTTTCCCCGGCGAAGAATAATAGCTTGGCCTTTAGATGAAATCTCCACAAGCTAAAATTGAAGGAATGATTCAGAACAAACCATATAAACTCAGTAGCATTCTATGCAGACTTTTCAGGATGTAGATATTTTTACAACTTTACGTTTTTCAGTTTTTAAGTTTTCTAATTCTAGGCTTTGAAGATTATTTTCATGAAAATTAATTTTAGATACACTCTAGCTCTCTTTGATTATATAAAATATTTTCTTAGAATTGATATGAAAAGAAAGGGGAAGAATTTGAAATAAACTCAGGCAACATAAAGGCTGAAAAAGGTTACGTGTATAATCTTTACTTCTGCCTAAGCTCTATTACACTTTATATTAAAGTTGGAATATAACGCGCGCTGTCTTTGGTTGAAAGAACGTACTCTGTAAGAGTACAAAACACGAAGCTGAGCTAAAGCTGTCATATCATCTACTGCAATATGTACCATGTCTGACTACTTCCCGAAATTCTCAGCTTTTTTTCGCTAATTGAAAGTGAAATTTCGGAAAAAGGGAGCCGGCACTAAGTAGCAACAGAAGAACCAAACAAAGGTTTGTAAACATGCCAACATTCAAACTCTCACTAAACAAGCTACTTTTTTACTATGTAGAGACTCAGCGAGCCCGGTTAGCTCAGTCGGTAGAGCATCAGACTTTTAATCTGAGGGTCATGGGTTCAAGTCCCATATCGGGCGAGATCTAATTTTGTCCTTTTGTTGTCAACCGTTCATTTCGCTATCGAGGAAAAGCTAGTCTTAATGTACGGAAACCAGCACGACAAATTCCATCTTGGTCCTACCGAGGAACGCTCATTTTTTCAAATTCCGACAGGTTGTCGTCCCCTTTTTAAACGAAATAGAGTTACTGAATCCCCTTCAATACATTATGATTTTGAAAGCGAACGAGGATAGTTGGATCGCTGCCGATCCCAAGCTCGTGGCTGAGTTGTTACTTACTAAAACCTTTGCATTCCCGAACTCCATTAACTCAGGAATGGACACTATGAGATTAAACGATATCTAAACAATTAAAACCTGAAGGAGTTATCCAGAATAAACTACATTCTATTTAATACTAATTCTAGGCTAAGAAAATTATCATTATGGGAATTAATTCAAATCTATTCTCGCTTTCTTAGGTTATGTAAGACGTTGTCTTTTTTTTCGCGGTGGCAATGTTGCATGTTCTTCAGTGCGGTTTTTTTTCTTGAATAATTCAATCTAAAACGAAAAGAAGCCGAAAGGGATATCATCGCCACAGATCCAGATCATCTTGAGATCCATAAAACTGGGAATGACCAATGATTAACTGTGAACAGAATATTCTTCTGAACTGAAGGTTTGACTTGAAGGTCCTTCCTCTATCGACTAATCAAATAATTGACAGAAAAGTTAGTATGTCATACAGCTCACTTGCTAAAGCTGAGACATCATTTGACACATTCAGACCCCTAATTGTAATTTAGAAGTGAAGTCGACCCAATTTTCTGGTGCTAATGACCTTACTTCCTGGTGCCTTTATACGGTTAGGCCCTTTATCTTTGTCCACTGGGTAGGTACTGTTTGTAAGTGTGAAACGCGAGAGCCACCTGTTACCTGATTCAAGCTAAAAGCTTTAGGTTACAAGATTTATAGATCGAGGCGTTAGTCTGAAATTGAAATGAGTCAAACTGTTTAATTTTTCTCTAGTTTTAATGGCTCATCTCGAATTTACATTTGAGTTTCCAGTCAGTCTTAGAATTACAGAGCCATGTTAAGGGACTGATCCACGTCTTGCAACATACATTGTCCAAAAAACACGATTGATTAATATTTATGCTTTCGATGCGAGTCACGGGTGGCCTCAAACCACGGCGTTTAAATAAAAAACTAAATAAGAGAACTACTGTTTATTCTCACAGCGATAAACAATGACCTTGTTTAGTCTTCGATGGAAGTTTTGTCTCCTTTGCTCACTTTTAGCTTTGTCAGCTTACTGCGAAAAGAAGCCAAGTAATCGAACATATAACGTTTGTAGGTTTGTACGGGAGGGACAAAGATGCGATTACAAAAAGTTTGATTCAAGCGGAGATGAACCATGCGTTATCGGAAGGAAGGCTGGTTTGACAAGAATAAATGGCGTTAAAGTAAGACTTGTGGTTTTATTAAATCTTCTTAAGTTCATTAATTCGCTCCATTACAGAAGGTGTCACAATCTGCCATAAGCTAACGATCATTGTAATTAGGCTTTGAGGTTGCCCATGCTCCTCAATGCAAGTTGACAACCGATCGAAATGGTACGTATGTTATTTTTCCTATTAGGTCAGCCAAATTAACATGCACAGGTATATAATTCGTTCGGGAATAAAGAAAAAGAAAAACAACTTGTGCGAATTAGAATTATTATTCTGTTTGTGAATGCGTTCGTTCGAATATTCCCATAAACACACTGGCAAAATATCCCGTACGTCAAGACAATCTATCGCTAAGTTACTTAGGCGAACTATGATAAGACTAACATTATAGAGGGTGGTTACCGGTACTTTTTGAAAATCACCAAAGCAAAATTGATCAAGCAGTGCTTCCGCGAGTTATTCTTAGTACACCAACTTGACTGAAAAAAGGCAGTCCAAACAAGTAGGGCTGTCCAAATCCATGATTGCTCTTCCGAGAAGCGCTTGCCGCCATCTTGGAATGGCGCTGTCCACGCGGTACCTCGTTACGAGAATAGTCGTAATTGAATCGGATTCATCGCTGCGATCGGTGCGATTTCTTTCCTTGGTTAAAACCTGACTGAAAAAAGGCAGTCCAAACAAGTAGGGCTGTCCAAATCCATGATTGCTCTTCCGAGAAGCGCTTGCCGCCATCTTGGAATGGCGCTGTCCACGCGGCTCTTTCGTTACGAGAATAGTCGTAATTGAATCGGATTCATCGCTGCGATCGGTGCGATTTCTTTCCTTGGTTAAAACTTCATTGTATAATGTTTTTCGTTTCTTAGTTCCAATATTGGTTATCAAAGATAAACCTTGGAAGTTTTAACGATCGTAGCGAATAAAGTACATGGATACCACCTTAATTTAAAACTCGCTAGAAGCTTTCCTGGCTGTCTTTGTTACAGTTGCTGTGTCTAGCCACATTTATTTTTCAGCTATAACGCCCACATAAATAAAGTCATATTTTAAACGTAAAATTTCGTCATAGGTTGGTCACGTTGAAGATGTTGATCTTGGTGATATTGTGAGAAAGCGGATTACAAAAGCTATGAGGCCTCTTTTGTTTGGTAAGACTGCTCGAAAAAAATTATATCTTACCGTATGGTATGGATACTTGTAGGAGTTTTATATACCTGTTGGCGATTTTCTTTCCTTTCGGTGGGAAACTTTTACCATTATTCTTAATGGTAATGATTGTGATAGGGGTAATGGTATCTGTAAGACTTTCACGACCTTTCACGCTGCACGGTTGTGGTCAAAGAACAAACGTTACAACGGCTTTACAGTAATTCGTTGATGAAACTTTAGAAGTGTTTGTAGGCTTTTGCATGGCTTTGCCGTTAATAATTGTTGCTAATGATTTGGAACTGTGGTCGGTGACCAGGTTTACTGGCATGTTTTCATCTCTTCATTTCCAGAAATTCCCAATTTTCTGTCTGAGGAAGAGTGTGGCCACATGGTTAATCTTGCGGAAAGAGAACGCTTTGTTACCAGTACAGCTAAGGGAGGACTACAGTCCTGGAGTGAATTTGAAATCCCTGACATCAGAAGTAAGATACGAGCCAGTGATTTCAAAGGGAACAGAGGAATTGCATTTGACTGTATTTTCAGCTAAACTCACCGTGCAACTGCAATGTAACTTGACCTTATTGATAACTGATGCGTCCACTGTGCACAGTGCACTTCTAAATCAAAAATAAAGTCAATTCCAAGTCTCATACTCTGATGCCAGCGTTAGATATTTTCATTTCAACAAGAACTATTCCGTGAGCCCGGTTAGCTCAGTCGGTAGAGCATCAGACTTTTAATCTGAGGGTCATGGGTTCAAGTCCCATATCGGGCGAACTTTATTTTTGTTGTCAGCCCTTCCTTTTATCATTGATGGAAAGCTGGTCGTAACTTACGGAAGTTTCGCTCATTATTAGGCAGCTTCGTTCAATGTTTTGCGGTAAAATACAATGTACCCATGATTCATGATTATTCATTGTTAAGATTTAGATCCATGACATAAAATATTTTAAAATATTTTGTTGCAGATGGGCCATTGCATGTTGATTATTTTCAATATTTGGATGGGGACAAAAATGGAAAACTGACTATCGAGGAGGTGGGTACAAAATTAGACTTTTTATGTAACCTGAGTAGCTATAAGTTCCCCTCAAACTGCATATTTTTAGTCTTATCGATTTGCTGGCATGCTTGTTTGCTTTCTTGCTTTTTCCTTCATTTACTGTGAGTAAACGCTTTAATCCAAGGATAGTTTTTATTTTCCTTTTCTTACAATTTGTGGCCAACACGATAACCTAATGACTACAGTGCTGTAGTCCTAGTCGAAAGGTGCTTAGTCAAGAACCCTGGCCTGGACGGGTCACTGCTGTGTTGTGTTTTTGGGCAAGACCGACCCCAGTAACTAGAAGGGTGCATCACACTATCCATAAGATGAATCTCCATCCGATGGATAGCGCAGTGCCTTTTTTTCCTTTATCCACTGGCCAGCGGTTGATACGTTGGATAGTGCTATTAAACGGAACCTTATGAAATGCCGAGGGTAAACTGCAATGGGCTGGTATTTAAGTTAGAGAAAGGAGCAATACTTTTAGTCCCTTTTTTTGAAGCCAGAATAAGTTCAAGTCACATGGGCAATCAGATCACTAAGCTCGCTTCTTTTTTAATATATTTGATAGGTGATGACCTACGCTAAAAAGTACCACTATTTGGTTCTAACAAAAGAGGAGACCATTGAAATGTAGCCAGTAACTAGAAGGGTGCAAGAAATGTAGCCTGTTGAAACATGTTTTTAAGAATGTCGCATATTTTCTTGAAGCCAAAGTAATCACAACGGATGATCTGAAAAAAGGTAAATACCCTAAGGAACCAATGAGAACACAAAGTAAAACCGACCAAACTTCCTAAAGCGCGGGAAAGCGCGAGCGACCAAGTCGTGACTGGTTTTAGTCTTGCATCTGATTGGTTAACAGAATGGCGCGAGTTTTCTGGACCATTCGTAGAGCGAAGTAAAACAAAAGGAAAGCAAACCCAGATTGTTTTTGACACTAATAAATACATGCGTAAAAGACAATAGATAATGTTTGGATGGATTGAGGGATGGATGAGTATTCTAACTGACTACTCTAATCTCACTTGCCTCCCGTTGCCTTATCGATTTCCCATTTCCGAAACCAGATACAATCCATGTAAACGACCTATCAGACAGTAATTCAATTTTCGTAATTCTTTTCCTAGAGTAATTAAGTTAACAAAGCTTCCAAGAGAAATCATTTATGGAAGTGAAAGACTCCAGGTGAGAATAAGTTTGAGATGAACTTTCTATCAGTTTTAGAGTATAATCATTTATAACATCTTGGGATGTCCATGAATCGCAACCTTTCGAATGCATACAGCGAGTCCTCTTCAACTCCACTACAAGTGAACTTAGATTAAAAAAATGCTGGAGGTAACGTGCAACAAATTAAACTGGCAAACTTTTTACCCACTTTGTGCTTTAGAAACCAGTAGAGTACGTAGGTGTCCATATGAGACTAAAATGCAGACTTTACTTTTAACAGAACTCATTTCATTGCTCGTCACGTTTCCTTTCAGGTTGTTTATTATGATAAAAATGGTCATTACCACGCCCATTATGATTCTGAAACTCACCTGAGGAGCGACGTGCCCTGCTGCCATCAACAAAATGAAGTGGATATGTTGAGCTTTGAGAATCCCTGCAGGATTTGCAGGTTAGATGTTCTGCCTTATATGTATTCACGGAAAAAGTAGTTAGTGTCTAAAATGACTGAAGAGACTCACTTATGCGTGATCAGTTAGTTATGAACAACCAATTGAGCAAAAATGAAAGCCTTCTGAAAACATACTCCGAGCCTTACTTTACTCCATGATACCCCGCTCTACTTTTGATAATTTAGTTTGACTTTTTTTTTTAAACAACTTCTACTGTGCTTGAGTATTATTGCCTCTCAATTCTGTTTTGGCCAGTGAAGGTTGACATTAATGATCGTCAACGGTAACTATCATCTCGGAAATTTCGAGTCCCAAATTTTGTCAAAACGGTTAAAGCAAAGCTCCCGCTTTGGCAAAATTATGGATATCACACTCGACCAGTAAAAGCGAGTCTAAGCTTCACGGAGCTTCAGTGAATAAGTTTACTTTACAAGCCATGAAAATAGCCGGATACTTTCTCCTCTCCTAGGTACATTACCATTCTATATTATCTTAATGACGTGGAAGGTGGAGGTGAAACAGCCTTTCCTGTTGCAGAAAACGAAACCTTAAATTTTGAGGTAGGTGATGAATTCAAAACAAAATGAGGAACTTTGGATATGATAAGACTTATCATGTGACCGGAAGACCCCGCGTGCGCAATCCCAAAGAAAACCATAGTGAAAGTTGGGGTCGGACGGATCGTCGTAACTCGGTCTCTTGCTTTGCAAATAGAATTCTATAACATCGACATAAATCAATCAAGGCTAATGGTAGCGTCTATTTATCTTTTCAACAGTACTTAAAAGACAGTCGCGGCACACTGGACTATTTTAATCTGAGTCACAACTGTCACGTGGGAAACTTAGTCATCAAGCCTCGAAAGGGAACCGCTGTGATGTGGTATAATCACTTTATGGATAAAGAGAGCGGATGGCTGGGAGAGATGGACCAGTATAGTTTAAATGGAGGATGTGATATCACAAAAGGCGAAAAATGGATCGCTAATAATTGGATCAGTGCTCCATATAAAGATTCAGCTCACATTCGAAGCTCGTGGTTGAATTTTTACATATAAGACCAACATACTTGGACTTGCAGGTTGAAAGGACTCGTGGGAACTAGGAAATTTGGAACTGGTCATTATTTATCGCCTGGGGTGGAGTAACGCTCCCCCCCTTCATTAACAGTTAATAGGAAGCCAATTGCCTGTTGGCGACGACTAATCCCTCGTCTGTTACCCTTGAAAAACAAGTGATCCCCATAAAAAACCCTCACTTTCCCCCGGCGAAGAGTAATAGCTTGGCCTTTAGATGAAATCTCCACAAGCTAAAATTGAAGGAATGATTCAGAACAGACCATATAAACTCAGTAGCATTCTATGCAGACTTTTCAGGATGTAGATATTTTTACAACTTTGAGTTTTTCAGTTTTTAAGTTTTCTAATTCTAGGCTTTAAAGATTATTTTAATGAAAATTAATTTTAGATACACTCTAACTTTCTTCAATTATATAAAATATTTTCTTAGAATTAATATGAGAAGAAAAGGGAAGAATTTGAAATAAACTCAGGAAACATAAAGGCTGAAAAAGGTTACGTGTATAATCTTTACTTCTGCCTAAGCACTATTACATTTTATATATAATAAGCTCAGTTATGCACGCATTCTGATTGGTTCTCACTTATGATCTATTGGAGGACAGACGTATAGATGACGTCACTATTAAAACTTTTTTTAATTTTCGCTAGTTGAAAGTGAAATTTCGGAACAAGCGAGCCGACACTAAGTAGCAACAGAAGAACCAAACAAAGGTTTGTAAACATGCCAACATTAACGCGCCAAATTCAAACTCTCACTGAACAAACCACTTTTCTATAGAATCGGGATTCAGTGAGCCCGGTTAGCTCAGTCGGTAGAGCATCAGACTTTTAATCTGAGGGTCATGGGTTCAAGTCCCATATCGGGCGAGATCCAATTTTGTCCTTTTGTTGTCAACTGTTCATTTCGCTATCGAGGAAAAGCTAGTCTTAATGTGCGGAAACCGGCACGATAAATTCCATCTTGGTCCTACTGAGGAACGCTCATTTTTTCAGATTCCGACAGGTTGTAATCGCCTTTTTAAATGAAATAGAGTTACTGAATCCCCTTCAATACATTATGATTTTGAAAGCGAACGAGGATAGTTGGTTGTTACTTGCTTAAACCTTTGCATTCCCGAACTCTATTAACTCAGGAATGGAAACTACGAGATTATTAAACGATATCTAAACAATTAAAACCTGAAGGAGCTATCCAGAATAGACTAAATTCAATTCAATAAAAATTCTAGGCTAAGAAAATTATCATTATGGGAATTAATTCAAATCTATTCTCGCTTTCTTAGGTTATGTAAGACGTTGTCTTTTTTTTTTTCGCGGTGACAATGTTGCGTGTTCTTCAGTGCGGTTTTTTTTCTTGAATAATTCAATCTAAAACGAAAAGAAGCCGAAAGGGATATCATCGCCACAGATCCAGATCATCTTGAAATCCATAAAACTTGGAATGACCAATGATTAACTGTTAACAGAATATTCTTCTGAACTGAAGGTTTGACTTGAAGGTCCTTCCTCTATCGACTAATCAAATAATTGACAGAATACTTAGTATGTCATACAGCTCACTTGCTAAAGCTGAGACATCATTTGACACATTCAGACCCCTAATTGTAATTTAGAAGTGAAGTCGACCCAATTTTCTGGTGCTAATGACATTACTTCCTGGCGCCTTTATACGGTTAGGCCCTTTCTCTTTGTCCACTGGGTAGGTACTGTTTGTAAGTGTGAAACGCGATAGCCACCTGTTACCTGATTCAAGCTAAAAGCTTTAGGTTACAAGATTTATAGATCGAGGCGTTAAGTCTGAAATTGAAATGAGTCAAACTGTTTAATTTTCTCTAGTTTTAATGGCTCATCTCGAATTTACATTTGAGTTTCCAGTCAGTCTTAGAATTACAGAGCCATGTTAAGGGACTGATCCACGTCTTGCAACATACATTGTCCAAAAAACACGATTGATTAATATTTATGCTTTCGGTGCGAGTCACGGGTGGCTTCAAACCACGGCGTTTAAATAAAAAACTAAATAAGAGAACTACTGTTTATTCTCACAGCGATAAACAATGACCTTGTTTAGTCTTCGATGGAAGTTTTGTCTCCTTTGCTCACTTTTAGCTTTGTCAGCTTACTGCGAAAAGAAGCCAAGTAATCGAACATATAACGTTTGTAGGTTTGTACGGGAGGGACAAAGATGCGATTACAAAAAGTTTGATTCAAGCGGAGATGAACCATGCGTTATCGGAAGGAAGGCTGGTTTGACAAGAATAAATGGCGTTAAAGTAAGACTTGTGGTTTTATTAAATCTTCTTAAGTTCATTAATTCGCTCCATTACAGAAGGTGTCACAATCTGCCATAAGCTAACGATCATTGTAATTAGGCTTTGAGGTTGCCCATGCTCCTCAATGCAAGTTGACAACCGATCGAAATGGTACGTATGTTATTTTTCCTATTAGGTCAGCCAAGTTAACATGCACAGGTATATAATTCGTTCGGGAATAAAGAAAAAGAAAAACAACTTGTGCGAATTAGAATTATCATTCTGTTTGTGAATGCGTTCGTTCGAATATTCCCATAAACACACTGGCAAAATATCCCGTACGTCAAGACAATCTATCGCTAAGTTACTTAGGCGAACTACGATAAGACTAACATTATAGAGGGTGGTTACCGGTACTTTTTGAAAATCACCAAAGCAAAATTGATCAAGCTGTGCTTCCGCGAATTATTCTTAGTAACACCAACTTGACTGAAAAAAGGCAGTCCAAACAAGTAGGGCTGTCCAAATCCATGATTGCTCTTCCGAGAAGCGCTTGCCGCCATCTTGGAATGGCGCTGTCCACGAGGCACTTCGTTACGAGAATAGTCGTAATTGAATCGGATTCATCGCTGCGATCGGTGCGATTTCTTTCCTTGGTTAAAACCTGACTGAAAAAAGGCAGTCCAAACAAGTAGGGCTGTCCAAATCCATGATTGCTCTTCCGAGAAGCGCTTGCCGCCATCTTGGAATGGCGCTGTCCACGCGGCTCTTTCGTTACGAGAATAGTCGTAATTGAATCGGAGTCATCGCTGCGATCGGTGCGATTTCTTTCCTTGGTTAAAACTTCATTGTATAATGTTTTTCGTTTCTTAGTTCCAATATTGGTTATCAAAGATAAACCCTGGAAGTTTTAACGATCGTAGCGAATAAAGTACATGGATATCACCTTAATTTAAAACTCGCTCGAAGCTTTCCTGGCTGTCTTTGTTACAGTTGCTGTGTCTAGCCACATTTATTTTTCAGCTATAGCACCCACATAAATAAAGTCATATTTTAAACGTAAAATTTCGTCATAGGTTGGTCACGTTGAAGATGTTGATCTTGGTGATATTGTGAGAAAGCGGATTACAAAAGCTATGAGGCCTCTTTTGTTTGGTAAGACTGCTCGAAAAAAATTATATCTTACCGTATGGTATGGATACTTGTAGGAGTTTTATATACCTGTTGGCGATTTTCTTTCCTTTCGGCGGGAAACTTTTACCATTATTCTTAATGGTGATGATTGTGATAGGGGTAATGGTATCTGTAAGACTTTCACGACCTTTCACGCTGCACGGTTATGGTCAAAGAACAAGCGTTACAACGGCTTTACAGTAATTCGTTGATGAAACTTTAGAAGTGTTTGTAGGCTTTTGCATGGCTTTGCCGTTAATAATTGTTGCTAATGATTTGGAACTGTGGTCGGTGACCAGGTTTACTGGCATGTTTTCATCTCTTCATTTCCAGAAATTCCCAACTTTCTGTCTGAGGAAGAGTGTGGCCACATGGTTAATCTTGCGGAAAGAGAACGCTTTGTTACCAGTAAAGCTAAGGGAGGACTACAGTCCTGGAGTGAATTTGAAATCCCTGACATCAGAAGTAAGATACGAGCCAGTGATTTCAAAGGGAACAGAGGAGTTGCATTTGACTGTATTTTCAGCTAAACTCACCGTGCAACTGCAATGTAACTTGACCTTATTGATAACTGATGCGTCCACTGTGCACAGTGCACTTCTAAATCAAAAATAAAGTCAATTCCAAGTCTCATACTCTGATGCCAGCGTTGGATATTTTCATTTCAACAAGAACTATTCCGTGAGCCCGGTTAGCTCAGTCGGTAGAGCATCAGACTTTTAATCTGAGGGTCGTGGGTTCAAGTCCCATATCGGGCGCACTTTATTTTTGTTGTCAACCCTTCCTTTTATCATTGATGGAAAGCTGGTCGTAACTTACGGAAGTTCCGCTCATTAGTAGGCAGCTTCGTTCAATGTTTTGCGGTAAAATACAATGTACCCATGATTCATGATTATTCATTGTTAAGATTTTGATCCATGACATAAAATATTTTAAAATATTTTGTTGCAGATGGGCCATTGCATGTTGATTATTTTCAATATTTGGATGGGGACAAAAATGGAAAACTGACTATCGAGGAGGTGGGTACAAAATTAGACTTTTTATGTAACCTGAGTAGCTATAAGTTCCCCTCAAACTGCATATTTTTAGTGTTATCGATTTGCTGGCATGCTTGTTTGCTTTCTTGCTTTTTCCTTCATTTACTGTGAGTCAGTAAACGCTTTAATCCAAGGATAGTTTTTATTTTCCTTTTCTTACAATTTGTGGCCAACACGATAACCTAATGACTACAGTGCTGTAGTCGAAAGGTGCCTAGTCAAGAACCCTGGACGGGTCACTGCTATGTTGTGTTTTTGGGCAAGACCGACCCAAGTAACTAGAAGGGTGCATCACGCTATCCATAAGATGAATCTCCATCCGATGGATAGCGCAGTGCCTTTTTTTCCTTTATCCACTGGCCAGCGGTTGATACGTTGGATAGTGCTATTAAACGGAACCTTATGAAATGCCGAGGGTAAACTGCAATGCGCTGGTATTTAAGTCAGAGAAAGGAGCAATACTTTTAGTCCCTTCCTTTTTTTGAAGCCAGAATAAGTTCAAGTCACATGGGCAATCAGATCACTAAGCTCGCTTCTTTTTGAATATATTTGATAGGTGATGACCTACGCTAAAACGTACCACTATTTGGTTCTAACAAAAGAGGAGACCATTGAAATGTAAGGCTGAGTACATGTGCTTGAACTTAAAATTGAATTACTTAAGGTTCCACAAAATAAACTCAGTGTGGAAATGTTTGACACATTTTGGTCGATACAATATTGAGTTTATGTTGGAAAAACAACCTCAGAAAATCTTAGTAGTTTCCCTAATCTTGAAAAATTAAAGTGAATGATTATTGAGTCAGAACAAAATGCTCGACAAGTTTTTATTTATCTTTCATCATTTCCTGTGCAGTTACCCGCTAAAAAATGCCACTAGTTTTGGGAATTTACTTTTCAACACATACAAATTTAAGTGAGCCCGGTTAGCTCAGTCGGTAGAGCATCAGACTTTTAATCTGAGGGTCATGGGTTCAAGTCCCATATCGGGCGCATAAACTTTTCTTCCTTTTGGTTGTTTATGTTGTTTTTTTGCCGGGGAGGGGGGGAAACAGAGCATAAACGGTGACTAAAGAACATTTACTGCCAGTGAAGGGGGATTATTTCTACAGAGTCTTATGGGGGTCCTGGTAAATTTTATGTGACACAAACGAAATCCTCCGACTTTCCATCCCCTCCCCCCCCCCCCCTTTCCGTGATAAATAACGACCGGTCCCTAAGCCGAGTTTGTTCTGTTTACAGGCTTCATAATGTGAATATCACGGAATTAGACGACGGTAAATAACTTTCTTATACTATGCACCTTGACTGATTATCTTTATGATTAAAATGATTTCAGTCATTTCTCCATTTAGTGCGTTATGTTTTGAGGAATTAACATTGAAATAAAGATAAAATTCAAATAGGGATGAAGTATATTTAAGTGCGTCAAAGAATATTCGTTAATAAAAAGAAGAAATGGATTGGAAACAGTCATCAAGCGAGCTTGAGACCAACATGGAGTAATTTTTAGGCGCAAGTGATACACAGCGACTCTTATCGACCCACGGTAAACACTTATCTAATCTTCTTTTCTTTTAGGTAATTTAATGTTAACAACTGAGTTGAAAACGTAAATTGGCCACCGTAAAGAGTTTGAAGGCTGAAGTTTTGAGCGTTAGCCCTTCACCAGAGCGATTGAAGGAATTATGGGTTGTGTGTGTGTTTATATGAAATTGGTGGGAATATGGTGACGAGAAAACAAGAATAAATTAGTTGAATGAAAAGCGCTCGTTGATACCATGGAGATCTTCTTTGCTTTTGTTGCTCCTTGATTATTCGCACGATCACTGAGTAAAAGTATCACCTTTTCTCTCAGGATTTGCTACAATTGATGAATTCAAAACAATGAATTCCATGGGGTTAACGGATTTGATGTCAGCAATGTCTATGTCTCACCCGCTTCACAGGCCACGTTACAGTGATCAGACTTGGGTCAATCAGAGATCTTTGGGCGATCCAGTTTTAAACAAAGTGATAGAAAGGTAACGTTTTCACTTGAGCGTGGCAGATCAGTGCTCCTAATAGATAGTCCAAACCAGGCGTCTTCCACATTGGCTTTGGATCATGCTAGTTTGTAAATTTTTTATAAACTACCAATTTTACAGGTCTGATAGAAGAATGACGTGCAGTCAAAGATCTCCTACTGCTTTCTGCAGTATGCCTTAAAAACGAGTTGTACCAATCATAGTTTCCTAACTATTCGAACATACGGCTGAAGAAATTTAGTTAAAATTGATTGCTGTCATGTATCATCTACCATGTCATGTATCATATATTATCTACCATCTGTTCTTCAGAGTTATAGAACTCACCAGACTCTCCCGAGAAATCATCTACGGCAGTGAGAGGATTCAGGTAACAAACTGTCAAATAAACAATTTTTTTAACCAGAGGATATCGTAGGCCTTAATTTTTTCCTTATAATTCTAGTCAAAGGATATCTTTTAACATTTGGAAAGTCTCTCAACACGGTAATGGTAAAAAAAAAAAAAGAAAGAGAAGAAAAAACTCAGATTTCTGGGTTCGTTTTATTTCATGACAAAGCTCCAAATTCATCATCTTTCTTGTCTGTTTTCTCGTATAACGCTCAACATTGCCGATTTTAGCAGTACTCTGGAGGCTTGTACATAAGGAGCTGGTAGAGGTCTGGTTCATTTTAGTGTTTTCTGTAGCTCAATGGCAGAGCATCAGAGCGCCGAATCCAGGATCGATTCCTCATTGGGATTTCAGAAGTTCTTGGAGACTAGAGGAAAAAATTCAAACACTGCAAACTGAAACAAATTCAACCAGTTCTACAAAATTTTACTACAAGTAGAAACTTAAGGACGTTTTCTCTTTTACAATGAATGAGTTTCATTTCCCTTTTCATTGTGTAGCTTTTTACATGTCTTTTTATGTATTATTAATTAATTTCTGTATTATATCCAATATAATTTAATTAAGTTAAATTTTATTTAGTTAAATAAGAAATTGACCTGCCTTGATTAGCATCTGCTATTTGCGGGTCAAAAGAATATTTCGTATGTTAAATATGAAAAAATAATTAGAGTGTGAAGTTTGTGAAGTGAACATCTTTCATGGAACAAAACTCTGTTTTAAACTTCTCTTTTTGATTTTCAACTACCTTCTTCGTAGTGTGAGGGCAGAAAAAAACGTTTTCGACTACAATGAAAAGGGTTCATATTTTCAACAGATCGTCCGTTATGGAAAACATGGTCATTACCACGCCCACTTTGACTCGGAGACAGACAAAAGAACTGACAAACGGTGCTGCCAACTTTATGAAGATGTGGTGCAAGCCTTTAATAAAGATGAAGGCTGTAGGCTCTGTAGGTGAGCATATGCAAAAGTTCAGTTAAATGGTGATGACTAATAATCAAATGCGTTTTCTTAGTCAGCTTTGCTTTGATTAGTGATAATAACAATTTTTTAAAAAATATTGCGCGCAAACTTAACTGAGCCAACTACTTTAATTTCACTTCTAAGAACGGGACATCATCGAGAACTTTGTGTTACATAATTAGATAAAACCACGTTTTAGCAGCGACATTTCAGATGGAATTACATCACGTTCAAACAAAATTGATACTTTATAAGGTCAGTTGTCACCTTTCATCAATCCGCTTTTTGTTTGTTCTTGTTTCCTTGATCAGATATGTAACAATCCTGTTTTATCTCAACGATGTCGAGGAAGGAGGAGAAACCGCTTTCCCTATGGCCGACAATGTCACCCTTAGCATGGAGGTAAGATTCTCGCGGGGCGTCAGCCTTTTAGAGTGAAATGCGATAAACATACAAATTCCCCCGCGACAACATTCTAGTGGCCATAAATCAATAAAAAAACACATCAATTAAAGGTTGTTATCTTTAAAGAGCATCAAAGAAGTTGCAAAGTCAGTCACTCCTACAGAAAACAATAATTTTCAGGGCTACCATTAGATGTACGATCCGATTACGCAATCAACTACGAAGGAGTAACATGAGTTTTGTTTTCAATTCTATTTAGTATCTGACTTCAAGTCGTGGTGATTTGGACTACTTCAATCTTAGCCATAACTGCCACCAAGGTCTGGCGATCAGTCCACGAAAAGGAACAGCTATCATGTGGTACAATCACTTACGAGACGATGAGAGCGGCTGGATGGGAGCAAGAGATGATTTTAGTTTGCACGGAGGTTGTGGCATAAAAAGGGGAGAGAAATGGATCGCTAATCTATGGATAACTGCACCTTACAAAGATGGAGCTCACATTCCTAGTTCCTGGCTCAGAAAGTTTGATGTTATATAGAGTTGTAAACGTTATCAGCAGCGAGACTGACTCCTTTTTTAAATTAGATTTTGAAGTGTTTAGCTCTATGCCTTAATTTAGTCTCCCTTTATTTTCTTTCTCAGGTTAGAGAAAAAAGGGCTGATTTTTTAAATATGGTTCACAGAACGTCTAAAGGACCGCTCATGGTCATGACTGTTTAAGTGTTTTTTTTTTTTTACCCTCGTTTATTTGACATTTTTCCAGGAGCGCACGTTGGATATGAGATGGCAAACGCTGAGTTGGCTGCCACCAATCTCGTATCCAACAAGTGCGAATGGAATAATTGCTTTTTTGAATTTCTTTAAATCCTGAAATAATGGGTTTTTGGAGCTTTGCAGCAGTTACAGCATTTCCACAAAAGATAACTCGGAATATGAGGTGATAACCAGAGTTGAGTGAACCAATCAAAACTTTCGAAATGCGATATTCCGAGGTAAAATTTAATAAATCAAGCAAAAGTCACTTGTAATGAAGAAACCTTTTGGTTTACATACTTTGATCTGGTTACTTAAAGGTATCTTTGTTCGATTTCCTCGGGTGCAATACGACGGAAGCCAACGTCAAAATCGAAATGCAAGTAAACTGTATATTACTTAAATAAGCTTGGTTTATGTCGATGATACGGTTTACGGTGGACAGTGTAAGCGATGATACGTTTATGGTATACAAGATTACAGCTCTGACGAATGCATGATATGGTCTCAAAAACTGAAGAAAAGAAAGACAGTGAATAATGGAAAGGACACTGAAAAACAAAGAAAAACTATTGAGTTAATACCTCCTTGCGGCCTGAAATTCGTTGGTACGACCGTTTAAGTTAATTGAATAGATAATTCGTAGTTACAATCCCTGCTATGGAATATTTCACCCCTACAGCTGGGTCACAGTTGCATAATACCGTATACAGACAGGGATAAAAATAATTACTCATTACGTAATTTTCTTTTTTATTCTAAAACTCTATCCGGCGTAACTAAAGAAACGTTTCCCTTTCTCCATTTCCATTTGATGGAAGTGATGAGAATCAACGGTTGGCTGGGCCAATTTTCACTGAATTTTATCTTCCTAAAAATGAGAGTAGTGTTCATTTATGCTACATTACGTAAGAAACAAATAAGAAGTAAAATTACAATAAAACGTTAAAGTTCAGCATAATGTGTCTATTTTATTGCATCAATAACTCATTTCAGTCTTAACAGAATGTACCACACGGATTGCGTAGAAGTCGGTACCTCTGTCTATTTCGATGCAACGCTGTCGCTGCTGATGATTTCCCCGCAGAAATTGTAGTAGAACGATCATGCTTGCTTCTTCATTATCAATATTACAATGTATACCACCAGATAACCCAGCAGAAACTCTTTACGATTTTGAAGAAATTTTAGCGTTCTTCCTCTCTGTTTAGCGGAAAGAGTCTTGTTTACGAGGCTCGTGTGCATATTGCACCTACGCTTTATCGATCAGTACAGTGACTACTGGCTTGTGTTCCTCATTTATCCGAGCGAAATCATCTTTTTTTAATCTTCACTGAAGTAAATATCCGGACCCAGTATGTACTGACTTGGGACATGAGCAAGCTTCTTATATGGGGCGGTGATCCAGTTGTTCGCTATCCATTTTATCCCCCTTTTGACTGCGCATCCTCCGTGAATTGAATACTCGTCCATTCTCCCCAGCCAGCCACTGTTTGGGTCCATCTCGTGGTTGTACCACAAGATAGCAGTTCCTTTTTTAGGAGTCACCACCAGATTTGACTTGTGGCAAAACTCACTTAAATTGTAGAAATCTTCCTTGGAACGTAACGACGCGAAATTCTGGAAACAACATTAATTGAATGGGTTATCAATATCTATCTTAACACCAGATTTTTGGTGTGACATAAATGCTTATCGGTTGGATGATTATTCTAGGGAAGAGAAAGGTGGAAATTTAACAGTGTTTGTTCGGACATACCCTGGGCCTAGTTCTAGCACCGGATACTTTAATTTCTCTTCCTTGCCCTGATAGCGTTCCAATAAGTTGATAAAATTGAATGATACCAAATTTTACTCACAATTCCATTGATATTACCGAGTGCCTTGATTAATATAATTCTTATTTGCACCAGTCAGCCTGTTAGCCAAAAGTTTTGCTCGAAGTGTTTCAATTGCCAGTTGATTTTTAACTGCAGTTGTTGTTTTGTCAAATCAGAACTAGTTTAAAAAGAAAAGAAAAGTTTAACTGACCTCTTTAATAAACGTTGCGTTGTCCGCCATCGGGAAAGCCGTTTCACCTCCCTCGGGAGGTTCATTTAAGAAATAGAGGATCGTAACATATCTGGAAAATGGTCAATGTACAATTAGTAAGCAGCTAATCGCATATCGCTCTCGAATCTAAAAGTTCAACACATATTCTGGGTGTAGTAAATGCATGTTCTCTAGTTCCATTGTCCACAAAATTCCATATCGATATTAGGAAAGTGATTTTTCAAGCTCAAGTAACAGAGCCAGTTTCTCTTTCTCTCATAGGCATGTATATACTAAATCCCTAATCGTCTATTTCTATTACTTTGCTAGATACCTGCATAACTTGCATCTCCTTTCACGATCCATTCCGGCTCCTTGAATCTGATGACAGCAGGGTATCTCGGGATGCTCATGCGTCTCGCTGTCGAGGTGGGCGTGGTAATGTCCATCAACTCCATAACGGACAACCTGGTGAGTGTAATAAGTTTGTCAAGCCCGTTTCGGAAGAAGGTCTAATGATATGTTCGGCGTAGGCTTTGTTTTCAATGGGGGAAACATTAGGCTTTAACTCTTTCGCCCCTAAGATCAAAAATTTATTTCTCCTGATTTTTCGTCTATTTCTCATATTTAAGGCTTTGATTATTGGTTAGTATCATCATTTGATTTACCTTCATTGATATTTGTCTTTCTTCTCACTATCTTCCTAGTTGACAATTAATTAATTAAGGAGAAAATATCTTATGGTCTCTTCTAGGAGTGAGAGGATTGAGTAAAAGCACCTTATAAAGAGTCGTTTTTAAAATTTTGATTTCAGGACTATTTAATTATTGAATCCTGTGCAGTTAGTCCAGATTGACTTTAAGCAACATTTGATATTCTATGGCGCTGTGATTCGTCAGAAGATCGTCATGTTTCTTATGCGGGAGTTCATTTTTTTCCCATAAGCAGCTTCTCTTATTTTTATTTTCCTCTTAATTTTTCTCTCTGTGTTTCGGCAAGAGAAAAAATGTTTTAACCTTACCTGTAAGTACTCACTTCCATAGATAATCTCATCGGGCAGCTTTGTAACTGCCTGTACTCTGCAAGGAAAAGTTATGAGATAAATTCAAAAGATTTCTAATCAACTACATAACGCTTTTTTGCTTCCCACAATTTTTTGCTTCAGGAGCCAATTACCCGAAGCCCCCCTTTCTCTTACAAGGTCTTCGAGATTTTTTACTTATTTTGGGAAACATTTTTTTTGGTATGCTTGTCATTTCTACATCCGGGTAACGTGCTCCTTCTTGCAGCCATCTATGAGTAAGGAGATTGAAAATGAAGTAAAAAAGATAATATCAAAGCGAAGTGAAACAAGTCAATTTAAAAGCTAAACAGTCAAGGCAGGCCATTTCCTCTAAAAAACGGTAAATAAGTTGTGACCGTTTTACTCAGGGTGATCCCCTCGGGACCACTGTACGTAGTATACCCTGCCCCAGACCCTCCCCAGCACGGATGTTCAATTCGGGGGCAGGATTAAATTTCATCAAAACTTACACAGGAGCTAAAGAGTAAGAATAAGAGAGTAACATGGGGTAATGGCTCCATAATAATTGAGCTAGTTGACATTAATTACAGGTCTATGCAACTATAATCGTCCAACCTCATGCGGATGTCTTGAAGAATTCCGTCTTCGTGTTCCCCTGTCAGCCATGTTTGTTCACTAAATCTTTCTCGGTGACGCGGATGGCTGCGGCCCATTTCGTACAAGTAGCTGTCAACAAGGAGCGTGTTCATGTCTTGAAACTCCTCACGAGTAATGACACCTGCATCATCAGAGTCCGTATGAAAATCTTTTCTGGATGAATGTGCGCACATCACTTAAGAGGTATTTGCAGAACTATTGTCAGACCCTTTTATGCTTGCATTTAAGGGAAATGTTTTGTCGTCTAGTTGCACATTCAAGAAACTGCAATCGGTTCAAACCATTTAAACAGAACCCTTAAATATGTCACATTTCTGAGATTATCATATCTCTTACGTTATGGTCTTTACTTACTATCATCGAACTCCCGTAGCTTCAAGTCGTGAAATCTGTGAACAGCAAACTTCTTTTTTTAATAAATGTGTTTTACAAATTCTATCCAGGTTCGTGCAAAGGTGTTAAATCTGAGTAGAAAAGTTTTTCCCTTCGAATTTTGTTATTTGATTATTTTAATACGTAACAGAACATTAGCTTGATGAAAGCGTTCAACTGATAGAAAACACCGCAAAATTACTCAAAGTGGCTCGAAATATAGCTAAGTACGAGTGGGAAAAAGGAGGAGGGATCTTACCTCCTCGATTTCAGTGAATCCTGTCCACAAGTAAAGTTTTATGAAAGACGCCGGGGATTTATTCCTTCAGGGGGATTCAAATTTCTTTCCTATTTCCCATGCTTGTGGGAGGACGAATAAAATCCTTCCTCGTCTACGTTATCTTTTTCGACTGGATCCGCGAACAAACGCTTTAAGCATTGCAAAGCTATTAAACAGCGTATTTAATGTATTTTCGATCCATGTAGTAATTCACCTTTGAGTAGAGGCAAACTTACATGCGTTTCACTTCCTCATCCGTGAGATAAAGGTACCTTTCTACTTTCGCAAATCTCTTTATCTGAAGGGAAAAAATTATTTTATATTCATCAACGTTACTGATCTGACAGGTAACAAAGCTGGGGTGTTTCTTTTTACATATAGAATACTGTACTGTCCTCACCTCATCAATTGTTATTTTTCCATCTTGATCAAAGTCCCAATTTTCATACAGTCCTCTCGAGCCCTCCGCTTTTCCAAATACTGCAATTGAAATTGGTCTTTTCAAAGGGAATTTTGTAATCAATTTCATTATCATTATCATCATCATTATCATTATCGTCATTATTATCACTATCATATCGTTATCATTACCATTATCATTATCATTTTATTATCATTATTATTATCATCATCACTTTATTATCATTTTTTTATTCTTATTATCATTATTATCATCATTATAATATCATTGTCATTATCATTATCATTTTATTATCATTATCATTGTATTATCATTATCATTATCATTAACATTATTCTTATCATTATCACTATCATATCATTATCATTTTTATCATTATCATATCTCCATTATCACTAAAATTTCCATTATTTCATCGTCATCGTCATAGTCATCACCATCATCATTATCATTATCAGAATCATAATCGTCAACGTCATCGTCATCGTTTCGTTATGGTTGCTCTCTATGTTATCGTTATTTGTGATGTTGTTGTGATTGCTGTTATCACCATTAGTAATGGTACAACTAAGAGGCTAACAGCGGTACGGGGACCTAATAGCTTACAATTCAGGGAGAAATCTATCAAGTAATTCTAAATCATCTGTTTAGAGCTGGACTTATTGTGTTTTAAAGTTTGACACTATAGTCTTTTGACCAGTTTATCTTACTCACTTTTGTGTTCAAGTTTATAAAGCTGAAGGTCCTACTCACAGAAAAATTTTCTTAATTTGATTTTTTATTGCATAGCACCGAGTAGAAGTTAAACCAAACTTGCCTTCGCTGTTTGCCACTAAGTTTCGATTTTGATGTGTCCAATTAAAATCAGCCTGTGTGGTAATTAATTTAACTCACTTACGATTTGGGTCATGTGTCCATGTGTCGCTCTCTGTTAGTCCTCCTCTAGCGACACTTTTGACCAACTCCTTTTCATTGGCCAGTGATATAACGTGGTTGCATTCTTCTTCAGATAAGAAATTCGGGATCTCTGAGGAGGTAAGATAGATAATGAAAAAGGTGCGAAAATTGTTCGTTGTCTTTCAGATGAAATTCCGCCATATTTTTATACCATTTATTTCGCATAATATTGTATATTTATTTCTTCATCTTCTGGCAGATACAATGGATATGTAGCCAAGTTGCAACCAAATTGTAGACAGAACTGGCTCCCTTGATAACCAAAACCAATTTTTCCTAATTTCTGGCCACGCATGCGCCAAAAGAGGTGAATTGTACGTGGTTTGGGCAAGAGTTGCTGAAAAAATTTGGCCAAAAGTCTTAAATTCCCTTAAATGTACGTTGGGCTGACACTCACCAAACAAGAGTGGTTTCAAAGCCCGAGTTATCAGTACTTTTTTTCCTTCTGCTCCAAGATCAACTTTCTGTTTGTGCCCAACCTAAAGAAAAATGATGATTGTTAGCTCGCCAAAGTGGAACTTCTTTACGTAGAAATCAAACATTCCTCTTGATTTTCATATATAAAAACTTCGAGATAATGGCGAAACATGGTGAAAAATTCCAGAGTTGAATTGATACTATACAATTGCTTTTACCCGAAACTATTTAAAAAAACCCTGAGGACACCTTTATTTAATCGCTAAGGACGATCATCATCTAATTTCTCCTCACAATGTCACCTTTCGATAAAACTTTAAGGTCACGAGAATCAACGAAATGATCACCAAATGAAGAAGCTCTTGATTGTTAAACAAGTTCTCCTTGTCATCTCCTAAGGAAATGTATGGAGTACAGTATGGAGAATGTGCATAATGATGTTAGGGTGTGAAAGGTTAGTAAATGTTTCAGAGGGATATTGCATCACGCAGAGCAAAACCTTAAAATCGTATCGTAATTAGTAATTTGGCAATCGGTTTAAGCGAGAAAGGAAACAGATGTAAACGTTCAACTATTTTAATGGCCATTCGCTTCAACCCATGGTTTGCTTGAATTATAAACTGTAACTAAGGTAAATTGAACTGGCTTCTGTGGAGGTGTTAATCAGTTATTTTCGTCAGATAATATTTTTAACGATTAAGACTTGATATAAATTTTAACTCTACTGCAACACGTGACAGAATCTTTAAACTGTACCAGTAAACCATCTGGTGTATTTATTGTATTCTTTATGTGATAAGACCGGGTACCAGCTTTTTGCAGTCAGCTCGAAAAGTTGACTTTAAACAGATACAGAGAATCTAAACTATACTTTGGAAAAATGAATTTTAACAAAAAATTGATAGCGTAAATTATATTTTGAATATGAAACTGAAAATTGCAACGATTTGGAATATTTTCACAACACGAAATGCTTCGAAGTAGCAAGTGTAAGCCTTATTTTAAGATAAAATAGGAAATTTGATGAGTTTGGAAAGTAAGCTTTAAGTTAGATCCTGCCTTTTTTAATAAATTAATATCAGACGTTCTTGAATAAATCTGTGGCCCGATCATTGATTCAAACTTTGATCATTTCTAAACAGTGTCAAGAAGAAATTCAGCTAACAGGAAAGCGTTAATTTACTTTAAATAACCCGACCATAAACAATTCTGATGGTCTGCAACCATAGTGCAAATGAGATTTCGTTCAATCAACCAGCTCTCAGTGTTTAGCCAATTCAAAAAAGTTTGATTAACTGAAAATCGAAAGGCTTCATTAGAATAACAATATTGTTCATTTTATGGCTTTTCCAGGGGAAGATGAAGCTTTCTGATTAGGACTGTCACGGAAATTACATAATTTTCCTCGAGTCACTGATTTCGATAAAATAACAAAAATTACCCAGCCGAAATTGCAATGTTCTATGGAGGAATAATAACAGATACACAGGCATACCAGAAACGTTAATAATCGTTTTTGTTTGCCCTCATATTTACTTACTTTTACTCCATCTAGGCGCGTTAAGATACCTTTTTCCCGAGGAATAAAACACGGTCTTTCATCTGTTATGCACGTGTCATCCTCGCAGTGCTGGTCTGAACCTGCATCGGTGAACAAATGACAATGGACCGAGACGAGGGAAGATACGAATATAAGAATAGCGTCCTCTCTCATGTTTCAACTGATTTTCCAAAGAATTTCTACGAAAGTGTCATATTGTCGATCAACTAGAAAGCCTCTTTGAATTATATGAATTATTCATTTAACATGGCCGACAGTGCACCTGCTGTTAGTTCTTTTCTTTCGAGGCTTTCGTAACCTTAGCTCGTACATGAGCAACTCGAAAATCTCACTCTAACTCTTAATTTAAAGCTAATCAGTAAATAAATGAAACCCTTACACTTATGTCTTATCAATTAAATATGAAGGAAAGTTGCTTTAAGAATCATATCCAAAGTATTTTCACCGCGCCATGGTTGTTACAGAGCAGTGTAGGTGCCAAAGTTGTCAATGTCATTTTCCATTCGAGGCGCGTCTCTTTCGCATGAAACTGTATAGGAATTTTCACTGCCACTCCTAAAGCTTCGCGGCCGAATGTCAAGTGTAAGCAGATGAGACATGCCGGCGGTCTGAAATAGCTCCTTGCGAATGTCTTTTTTATGTAGTGCGTAGACGATAGGATCAATCATGGAGTGCCCCTTTAACAGAAGTCGCGAAATGTGAACGGCGGTCGGAGGTATTGAGCAGCGGTTGAACGCCGAACAAATCTCTCTCCACGATGCTAGAGTCCAACAAATAACGAAAAGAGGAACAACTACACAGAACACTTTTATGGTCGATTTTGCGCGCCATTTTGTTTCACTGGCTGTGCTATCACTCCTTCTCCTTAAGCTTCTGTGAAGGGAGTTTATGTGTCTGGCGTGTCTTCGGCTTATTTGAAAGATGTGTATGTAGGCAAGTAGCATTAACGCACAAGGCAGCAATTCAAATGTGGTAACTTTTATGACCACAAATACATGTTCTAAAATTTTTTTTGATGTTTCGGCTATGGAGAGCAGATTTATCACAAGAGAAACACCGCATACAACCAGAGGAAATAGCCAAGCTGTTACTAACAACTTTATGGTGGACTTTCGAGGGATAAGCAAGCTGTATTTCAGAGGAAACACCACTGCAATGTATCTATCCATAGTGAGAAAACAAAGATTTGTGACGGAAATGTAAAGAAACAGGTCGTACAGAATTTTGTTCACATTCCAGTCGCACGGTATGGTCGAAAAGTAGCAGAGAAACAGCGACGGGATCATAATTATTCCCACTGTTAGGTCAGAAAAAGCCAGCGATAAAAGTAACCAGTTGCAAGGATTTCGGTAAAGCCTTTCTCGTTTAAGTATTATGAAGATGACTAATCCATTACATATCAGGGTAATTAGTCCATTTATAGCGCTAAGAACCCAGTAGTATTTGGGAACTGGGCCCCAGAAAAATTCTAACTTCTTGGCGTCCATGTCGCTGTCGGAGTTCGTTGACATCACAATGAAAAAGCTGCGGTGTAATTATGGGATGTACCTCCTGCAGAAAATGAAAAAAAATATTCAAAAAAATGATGGAAGGAAACAGTTATAGCAAAATGTTATATTCTGTTGGTTATAACAAAGAAAAAAAACAAAAGACAAATTTAACATACATGCTAAAATGCAAATGAAAGAAATCGTTTTGAACTCATGCAATGGACGATAAATATCAAGACAAATACTCGAAGTTGAACGTATTCCATGCATGTGTCAACTTATTCAATTAACTGTACTTCGTTTTAAAACTTGATGAATTTGAAGTGGTATAAACAGGAAATTGTTCTGATATTACGCGTTAGGTTGTGTGAAAATCGATTTTTGACGGCACTTATGATCTTTGGTAATTTTCCTTAATTGGAAGTTGTTAGTTAACTATGTTTCCCTGAACAAGTAACCATAGTAGTTAATTTGGAAAGGTTATTCACGGCTATTTTGTTGTTCGATTAGCTCTCTTCATTGTGTTTAGTTTTATATTAAAAAAAAAGGTTTGTCTTGACTCAATACACAACATAAAATAGCCTTAAACTTGAAATATCTACACAAATACTGCATATTACTCATCATTTGCAAAATGAGTTGTTTGTTATAGAGGACACAAAATCTTGAAAATGTGAGCATGCACCTCATCGAAACAAGGTTGCCAGTATTACGCGATTCTACTTGGTCGATCATCCCATTCGTGTACTGTAAAACGTTGCTGTCGAAACAAATTCAACGGAATTATACCATAACGTTTTGTATCTCACCTGCAAACTAAAGCAAGCTAACAGAGCCGAACTTCTCAAAAGTAAACGTAAGGCATACTTAATAAAGACAAACGTACCTTCAACAGTGGGAATGTTTATCCCATCAACGAAAGATTTGCCTTGCTCTTTTAGCCGCTTAACTGAGGTATTGACGCGTTTCTAGGTATAAAGATGGAGACTTTTTTTTTTAATAAGCTTCCAATATCATGAAAAGCTCAGGTTTTTGCATTTTTTCCATAGATAATAAACAAACAGTTGGGATCTTACGAAAATGTCAGTAAAAAGCACTCAAAGTGTCAGCAGAAGTGTCAGAATATTTTGATAATATGCAGAAGAGGATCAATATTGTCAGCTTCCAAGTTCAACAATTACGTGTTAAAAGCCTTTTGAGAGACGCAAGCGTGAAACTGATAGGGCGGAAAACGAAAACTAAAATAAAAGAGTGTGATTAAATTTGGACTTCATTTTCAAGTCCTTTTTAAACTACTCTAAATTGAAATAACTATGAATTTGATTGTGGGGTAAATTTTATTCTGGTACTTGTTTTCAAGAGCTCTTGAGTGTTACAAGAACGATGGCTCTGTGATAATTGCCCCTCCCCCATCGTCCCCATAGTAACTTAGAATTGCGAATTATCTGAGGGACGCAGATACTTTACAAATGATTTCGCTCATTTTCGAACAGAAATTATTCAAAATTTAAGATCGTTTCGCAGTATTTATTAAAAGTAAGTGATTGGGGATGACTGAAAGGAAGAATATCAATTTATGCTACTATTGTATTCAAACATAAATATATGAACAGCAAAAATGTTGACGCGTCCTCTTTCGATATGATCAGAATATATTTTTTCGGTGAAAAAAATGTTGCCAAATAATTTTATAAGCAATCGGAAAAATTACATCTGAATCTGATGAGTTTATTCGATATGATCAGAATATACTTTTTCGGTGAAAAAAATGTTGCCAAATAATTTTATAAGCAATCGGAAAAATTACATCTGAATCTGATGAGTTTATGGACTGAAGTGTTATACATCAATACGTTCCACGGGTGTTGATAAATTAGTGCAGCCCGCAGATAATCATTTAAGACTTTTTTCCTTTTAAAAGGCAAAGCTTGGCTGCTATTCACATCTTATTTTGAATTGCGAATAATAAAATTCATATTTATAAAGTTCTCTCCGAGGTTCATTTGCGCAGAAAGGAAACTCTAGTAATATAAACTCGTATAACTTACTTTCTCGCATGAGTAGAGGCGTATTTTGTTAAATTAATTCTCTTTCCCTACCTTTTAGGCCGTTGTTGTACGGTGAAATTAAGTTATACAGTACCTAGTTTAGAATAAACGATGAACTACATTTGCTTGGTGTACACGTGTTTTCATATCATAGAGGATCTAACAATTTCATTCTATGATAATCACCTAGTGCTGGACAGTTTCGGAAACAAACTGCTTGCACTGTTTGCAATTTACGATGAAATAAGGCGAGCTTTGTTTGTGGCAATTTCCCGCTTAAATCTCTTAATCATATAAATTTTACCATGCTACTATATGTAATTTTTCCAACCTGTAAATCACCATTTCACCCTGCAGTTGTATTCATTGTCCTGTCGATGGGGCATGAACTCCTCTACTAATGCCTGAAGGAAATTAGAGTCGGTTTCGAGTGACCAGTATCCAATGAGCCGAGCGCTGTTCTGTAAACGCTCATTTCCTACGACCGATAGAAACTGAAGCAGCTGCTCTAATTTGAAAGAAATTCAAAATTTGTTTGATTGCTCTAACCCGTTATCACTTCTTAATCATTGTTTTTGTAAATAGATTTACTCATTTGCACCGCATTTGAATTACAAAGTGGGGAACTGAAAGAGGTTTATGAACGTTTGGCATACACAGTCATTGACAGGTATGTATCCTAAATTTAGAACCTGAGTGTGAATTATTTATTATGCTTGTCAGCATCTATTTATTTTTAGCAACAAACCCCTTACTTTTTTTTATCAAGCAAATGTTATCAAAAATGAGACATTCTCCGAAAATCTGATTCTGGTGAAGTATATAGCTTGAGATGAATCTTCAGCGTCGGGATTAATGATGAACTAAATGTGCTTGGTGTACACGTGTTTTCATATCATTTAACATCTGACAATTTCCTTTTATGATTATTACCTACTACTGGACAGTTTCGAAATTAATAAAGGGGGTAAGTTTCTAAAGAAACTGTGGTGCTGTGTCGGTGGGAGAGTGTAACAGGATAGTGTCATCAAGTGAGTTGAAACGTAAGTTAGCCATCGTAATGAGTTTAAAGGCTTAAACTCTTCACGGTGGCCAATTTATGTTTTCAGTTTCGGAAATCAACTTTTTTCACTCTTTGCAATTTACGATGAAAAAAGGCGAGCATTTTTTGAGACAGTTTCCTCCTTAAAATCTTTTAATGATATAAATTTTTCATTGCTACTACAGGTAATTTTTCCAACCCGTAAATCCCTAGTTAGATCCTGAGTGGGAATTGTCTTTAGCCGCTAAACTCTTACTCTCTTTGCATCAAACAAATGTTACTAAAAATTAGATATTCTCTGAAAAGTTTATTTTGATGAAGTATATTGCTTAAATGAATCATGTTTCAAGATGAATATTCAGTATCATGGCACAAAAGGAATGAAAGAAGACTTTTATTATGCGCATTGACGAACAGCCGCACTTCATCTTATGTATGATGGTCCTTGAATGGTCAAATAACTACTGGGTGTTGTTTCAGAGATCATTACGACTTGAGAAATTAAGGTAAAACGGATATCCATGGCTTTTCGCCAAACAAAATAACAAAATGATTCTAGCCATTTTGAAAAAAAGTTGGAGTTATATATTCAAAGCATTGGCAGACAAAGCGTATTTAATTGGGATTATGCTGAAAAGCCCCAAGTCATATTGCTTCATTTCAGATACCAAGTCGATTTCTTTTTTACCGCATCGTAGTTAGCAAATAGTAATAAAAAAATAAAACGTAAAAATCAGATTACACTCGTCGCGTAACAATCTCATCGTGGTTAAATTAATCTTGATAACTTGCATACAGCCATTTTTTTTCAACAGATGACACGATTCAAAACACATGAATATGGAAAACAACTGATGGGCCATCAGCTAATTCGGTCGATATTTACTTCAACACGAAAAATTTCGCGAATAATGATTATGAATCTCAGTATGTTCCAATATAAAAAATTTTTCGTCTACCGTCATGCAGTGATTGCATTTTAAAAACAATTATATACACAGCTTGAATCAGTGAAGAAATTTAAAAAAAAAAATACAATCTTTGGTCTGGCAGATAAACTGATGGGGAGTAAAAGAAAACTGAATTTGGCACGTTCATCTACATTTCAGTCAAAAAGCAAAGAGCCCCCGTTGGTTGGATTGAGCAAATAAGAAAGGAAAAGTACTGCCATCAAAAAAAGGCAAAAGAAAAAATAGAAAAGAAAAATAAAAACCTAGAGACTTTAAGGTAGGAACAATATGTCACCTTCTAATTAAAAGATTGCAATTTTGCAAGTTACTTCGATGAGGGTTATTTCACTTATTGTCAATTGGGTGCTTATTTCACTTCCGAGTGAAAAATCGTCGGCTAAAATAAATTAAAAAAAGAAGTAGAGCTTTTGTTATAAAAAAAAAGATAATAATAAAAAAATGTTTAAGTCATTTCTCACGAACGAGGATCAAAGCAAAAAAAATGTGAGTGGACCATAATCCGTAAGGTGTACCAACCGGCAACAGAAAACACCTTCGCTTGCGAGGGCCACAAGCAAGATTCATATTTGTAAACCAGAGAGATAACAGGAATCTTCTTACCTTCTGTTAGGTTCATGCTTTACATGTTTCGGTGAAGATGTTCTTAGTGTTTCACGGCTGAATTATCCTCTCAGCACTAACGATGAGTTTAATTTGTTTTTTGATTTTACAAGTCATCTGCAGCTGCTCCGCGCAAGAGTTAATTAAAGGATTATTTGATCAGAGCAATTCTGTTTATTTACAGTTAAAAGCCGAAGATCAGACTTTTGACGGCTTTAATTAAAGAATGTATGCGTACTGTCCGTTTTATAAAGTTTTTGCTCATGAGGTAATCTAGATTTTTAAGTTTTCGAAAAAAGCAATAATTTCGAGCGTCAATTTGCAAGGTTCTGATAATGACATTGCCTTCATTCATAAAACTTTTGAGTGAAATATCAATGAACATGACGATATATTTGTACACAGGGGTAAGTTAAACGAGATAATATTCTTCGTAGATTTTCCAATTTACGCGAATATATTACAAAGAAATTGAGAAAAATTAAAATTTTGGACTACATCGCTGAGCTCTGAAATCCGGTACGCAGTGCTTTTTCTATTTTTGGGGTATTCCAGAATTGTTGGTTGCATGAGAAAATTTTATTGGCCTTGTTTCTTTTTCTCTTTTTGAAACAATAGCAAGAAGGTTTGCTAAATTTGTGGCGACGAAGATTTATTTACATGTCTGTTCACGCTGTTCACGAGGAACCACTAATGAAAGTGTTGTCATATCGTCGATCTCAAATTTCTTACGTGGAGATTGAATGCGTTAGTCATTAATTAAGTGTCTAGAAGTTTGGCTGAAGTTAAAAAAATCAAGAGTAACGTAAAATTCTTATTTTGAGTTATAATAAGAATGTTGCTTAAAAGGCAATCCCCTTTGTTTAATTTTGAAAAATTGATTAATTTTCTTCTCACGATAAAGATTGTTAACGGGCCTATGAAGAACAGCATCATCGCGGTAAAAAAGTTGATTTTGCTTTTGGGATAATTGTTTGGCTTAAGTTATGCTTTTGATTGAAATGAGCGTCGCGTCAAAAGATATTTAATTATTGAGAGATGGGCGGAAAAAAGAAACTAAGATCTGTAACTTAACTATGCTCTACGATTGTCCGAATTCTACTTCTACTTTACTGATGATGGTAAACGAATGGGAAAAAAATTGTTGCAGGTCTTGTTGAACTGGATCAATTATTTTCTCCAAGAGAGATTCAAAGGAAATACGTTAAACTATGAACAGATCAAGAGTTACTAGCGGTATTTAAACCGTTATTAGAACGATAGCATTTGTGTTAGTTGGCGTGAATTTTTTGGGCCCAATTCAGGGTTAAAATGACCAGAGTTAAAAGTCCCAAAACGTATTTATGGCCAAGAGCATATACTATATTACTATCAGCAACGCTTTAGAGGGTAGGGTGAAAATAAAAACTGAAAAATGACAACAAAACAGCCCTAAACAATCACGTGAGCATGCAGGCGGGCCAAAATACATTGAAGCACGCCAAAACCTCCATTCCAGCCGGCACAGTACGCCACAATGCCCGACAAAGTGATAATAATTTACAGTTATACTTGGAAACATGAACCTCATGAGTTAGGAATTCTGGTCTGAAAATGTTTTGACTACCAGGTGGTATATTGCAAAAGGATAACGACGAAATAATGCTATTCATTTGCATAAATCGTGGGTGACTTGCTTCAAACCTGTTGCCGTCCAGTCGATTCAGCAACAGGTGTAAGTATTGTTTCAGCAAAGTCTTTTTTTACCTAAGCAAGACATAATTCAGTTTCGCAGTGGCTCAATTTAATTTGACAGTTTGATAATCTTAGCTGGCGTTGGAGCTTTAAGATGCGCCTAATTTTGACAGAAGCGATAGTTATCCTATGTCTAAGCTGCACTTTACTTAGTGCTTTGTCTGTAAAATGGAGCCATCCGCCAAATATTGTGACAAAGGAGAAATGTTACTCCGCGAATGTATCAAGTCAGCAAGGTACTTGCAGCGTCAAAAGACAGCCGCTCTTGAAACGAAAACTCGTTCGCATAGATGGAAAACAGGTATTTTTCCTCCAACTATTTAAACTTATCTGATAAATAAACTAAAAATTACAGCCTGCAATACACGTGAAAAGGACGTCGACGTATATTAGAAATGATTTTAAATGTTAAAGTGTTAACCTGACTTGAGACTCCTTGATATTCCTTCGCAAGTAATGATATCTATTCTTAATATTTTACTCTCCGAGGTAAAATAGATTAAACATTATTAGTACATTATAGTCAAAACGATGTTTCCTTGTGTAGGTGGAAATCAGCTACCTGCTTCGTTTTCACGTAAGACCTGCATGAGTATTCATAGCAGTGCTGGTAGCTTACTATCTTTTGAAGCTTCCAAGGCTTTTCCATTATCTCAAATACGATCGATGTCTAATTGATATTGTAAACACAAGAATCGTTTCGCCTTAGTTCAAGATATTGCCTATTAGCTATGAAGAACAAGTTCAAACAGTGGTAAGCAACATTGCAAAATTGTTTTCATTATTAACCCAGACTTTTGACTGCACTTATCCTATACTGGTGATGAAGATTAAAAGGTGGTGGCTTTCATAATTATTTCGTCATTTTAAAGTGCAGTTTTAAAATATTCTCAGTTTCCTCAGCGAATTAGATTTTAAGCTTTCTGATACTCTTTCAACGATTTTTCTTGCAGGTCGGTCATGTGAGTCATGAGCACTTAGTTGCAGGGGAAACCCACAAAATTATCACTCGAGCACTCAAACCTCCTGTTTTTGGTACGTTTTACGTTTTCATATTAAAGTTAGGAGACTTCAGTGTACTCATTTCTCTGGTTATTGATACCTCCAAAACTTACAAATTAGGCCGCTCTAGACGTTTCAGTTCTTGCTTGTGGAAAAAAGACACGTGACATTAAAGCTAGAGAGAGAGTACCCGTCAATGAAATGAATGGTTGTAATGGAGTCAACGTTTGTGATCATGAAAACACAGGTGGCAGTCATAAAGTCACTTTGGTAGAAGAATATTTTGCAACTTGAGACGTTCCTAATTTTTTTTCATGGAGCATTCATAACACATGTTTTTGTTATCAATTCGAGAGTGCTAAAAATAGATGTAAATTGAATAACTGATAACCACCGTGGGAGGACTATGACGCAGATGAATATAAATCAAAGGGAAGGGAATAAAACGTGGCTTTTCTGTATTTCATTTTTAGAGATACCAAATTTTTTGACTGAAGAGGAATGCCAGCATATTATGCAAAAAGCAAAGGAAACAGGACTTGAGTTGAGCGAAGTTGCTTTGCCTGAGGAACAAGATAAGTTTGCTAGTGAGTAAAAAGAAAAAAAAAACTCTTACGCGCAATCACAACTTTTTGTTATTTGACTTGAGGGTAAAACTCAAAGAAAGATGACCCTCGTAGGTGGACTGTAATTTTAAAGAAATAGCAGATTCTGGCTTCCACGGAATCCGAACCCGGGCCTCCCAGATATTAGTTAGGCTATTAGCAACGAGTGGCTTCTTAGCTCAGTTGGTGATAATACCCAACCAGTATCTGGGAGGCCTGGGTTCGAATCCCGTCGAGCCTGAAATATTTAGGCTTCTTTTCTTTGCTCGAGTGCACTGTGTTTCAGTTGACTAGTTAGTGAGTGAGTGGATCGGCTCTATAGTAGATGTTTATTTTTAAGAAGAGTTTCTTTTTCTAGTAATTAGTCTCTATATCATTTAATTGTCGATTTGTATAGGTAGTTGTTATGACGATGACTACAGATGTGTGAGATGGGCCAAATATGGAGAATGTGAGAAAAATCCTGGGTATATGTTAAAAAACTGCCAGCAGAGCTGTGAGGTATGTGAAGGTAAGTGGAGCAATTTTTTTTTCACTAGTCTATTGCTGAGTTTGATAACCTAAAAGTTTAGTAATACAATATTTCTCCTGCGGGATTCTTCGCCTGGATCAGAGCTAGTAACATTTGTTTTGCTGGGTCAAGTATTGTGCTTATTAGTGCTCATTGAAATAATTCATGAATGATTGCATACTTTCTCTTGTCAGTTTTAGTTTACTTTTGTGATTGGCTTTTCAGATGGAAGGGTTCTTGACTTTGATGATTTGGACCGTGATGAGGATGGTATACTCACGGGATATGAGGTACAATCAATGTAATCGTAATATACAACAGCCCAAACCTTTTGCCGTACGAACCTACAAATGGCTTTAAGAAGTAAAATTATGATCTCATGATAAGCAAGACGACTATAACGCAGGAAGTTTAAACTTCCTTTGTGGTCAGCAACGAAGGGTTTTGTAGACATTATGACTGAATATCCAATTTGCAAATGCAATATTTTGGCTACATTTGAAATTTGTTATTTCCTCTACTGGGTCAATATGTTGTATGAAGAGAGAAAAATTTCACTTCCAGATCTTCGCTTCAGCGAAAAGCAAAAACAAAATTAATATGCAAAGAAGGATAAAAAAGTTTTCTTAAGTTTTGATTTTATTTCTGGGCGCGAAAGCTTTTGTGGTGGAATTAAAAAAGTTGTGGTCAATTTTTTTTAAAGTTTGCGATTTTTATGTTTTGTCTTTGTTTTAGTTCAGTAAGGCAGTAGAAAGATTATTTTTCATGTACTTGGATGAACAAGATCTACAAGAAATGCAAGTATTTGACATAATAGTGAATGTTGGAAATATTTGAAGTCAAATGGCAAGGGTCATGTCATATGCGGTTAAGTGCACTAACCAGATAACCTACAACAGTTCACTGTACGATTACCTTGTGTTTTCCTATAAATGCCCATGCACTTAAGACGAATGTTCTCTAATATCAAATATACATTTCCGATGATCCTTCACCTATCGTGAATCTACATACATTTACGTTACGTCGCTTGCTATAATCGTATCCTTGTTTGGTTTTATCTGGCACAACTACAGGTTTTTAGATTTGAACGTCACACAGTTTGGTTCAGGTAAGTACTATTGATAAAAGCAATTTTAAAAAGCACGCGGCTTTTGCTATGTAAACATCAAAATTTGACCTGACTGAAAAAAAATTAAGCTAAGTTGATTAAACAGGTTGTAGGAAAAAAATATTTCCCTCCCACTATCCAACAAATATTGTTTTTCACGGCGTGCCCACCTTTTTGGGAGGTACGAACACGAGATATGGTAATATGAGAAGGTCATCTTTAATTAAATTGTGACGAAAGACCGCCAGTAGAAAAGAACAAAAAAACAAATTTTCAATGCGCATTTGTTTAACAATTTTACGGTTTTTTTTTTTCTATTTTGATCTCTGGTGTAATGTTCTTTTGTTTTGTTTTTTTTATCGTCTCTTTGCTTTTTCCACTGGCTCTACAGCTTTTCTTACTAAAAAAAAAACCTTAATTTATAGGCCTCCTCTGCGATGATAATGAAGCTGATTGCTCCAAATACGCGCAGGACGGAGAATGTGAGAACTTTCCAGTTTGGATGCTACTCACCTGTAGGAAAGCGTGTAGAAACTGTGGATGTGAAGACCTGGCAGCCAACTGCTCTTCTCTGGAAAAAGAAGGAAAATGCCTCCACCCAGATCATGCTAACTGGATGCTAAGAAACTGTCGTCGAACATGTAAAGTTTGTCTAGGTTAGAAAACGATAGCTTATTGAAATCAGTTTTTTGTGGTGAAAGACGATTTTATTCAGCGAATGATACAGGCATACTCGGAGAAAAAGAACTCCGAGTACTCTTAATGGGAGCTGAACCTGACACCTTCATATCGGTACTTCGGACGGTCTACCACTGTATTATAGGAGACGTATCGTGGCAGGCTGGGCAGTTTAACTGCCTTACTGCTAAGATAGGAATGTCGATATGTAATGCTTCTGCGCAGTGATGATGTCAATGAAGATAGTAAATGTAACTCAGTCAACTCCTTAAGTTTTAAGACTTTCAGTTCGGTGGATCAAAATTGTCTTTGTTTCATGCATAGGAGCCGTGAGCTATGACACATACAGAAAAATGGACGCGAATGATCTCTTCAAGTTCGTGAAGACAATGGCAAGGAAACACCCAAGACATAGATCGCGCTACAGTCACACGGCCTGGTTACACAGCACCACCCCAGACCCAATACAAAATAAAATTATTGACAGGTGTGTGATTTAACAAAATTACTTGCACTTAACGTCACTATATCGTTAAAAGAGAACATAAGATCTCTCCATTCTTGTCCTCTTCAGTCATCTTTACTCGATGCTTGAGATCTGTATTCGAGAATATACCTAAGAGCACCAACGACTTCATTTCTTTTATTAATCAGTTAATTTATTTATTTATCTATTCATTCATTTTTATTCATTTAATAAGGATACTGATGTTAGGGTTAGGGTTGATGGGTAGGTGCTCAGTAAAAACTTGTCCCGATAATGGTATTAAACGGTTGTGAATATATGAAAATCATATATTTGAACTGCGGTTAAAGACGTGAATGAAAGCGATCTTCGCAGTAATGAACACTACTTACGTAGTAGTGAAAAGAAGGCCTGGAAAAAAATTCAGGCCTGCACCCTGATACTGGTGCAGTGCTCTACCAACTGAGCTAACAAGCCAATTGGGAGCTGGTCAATGTGTTGGTCCCAAATAAACCGTGACAAATCCCGTACAGGCCTGAATTTTTTTCAGGCCTGAATTTTCACTACTACTTCTTAAGTAGTGTTCATTACTGCGAAGATCGCTTTCATTCACGATAATGGTATTGTTCGAAGCTTTTCTAAGGAGACAGGAAAAAAAAAGGAAGTCTTCTTTCCTCACCTCCTCTCACTTAAGCTGCCCCGTCAGGAGGTCCTGATATTTAACTTGACAGGAACATATTTAACCTACTTTAATGAAGACTGATTTTTGTTTCAAATATTAGAGTTGTAAAGTTAACCCAGCTTCCTCGTGAGATAGTAGAAGGTGCCGAATCACTTCAGGTGAGTTGAGACAAAATAAAGGGTGCTCAGTAGAATTTCCAATAAATCTTTCCCACCCAACGCAGTGATTTTGAAGGGCTTTACACTATTGCATTAGTTGCAGGTTTTTTCCTGTCATAGGTGGTTAAATACGACAAGTATGGACATTACCACGCCCACTACGACTCCTCGGGCACTGGCAACGACAAATTGATTTGCTGTCACCAGACGAGAAACAAAACTCTGCCATGTCGCATCTGCAGGTAAATAAGATACAAAGCTATAAAGGGAGTGAGGTGATAGCTAGATGGTTTATCCAGTCGTTGCAATCCCACGTGGTCTAGTGGTTCGATTCCCGGCGTGGGAAAGCTTTTATTTTGATTCTCTTTCTTTGTGCGACTCTCCCGGTCGATCTTTAACCCCTGTGCCAAAAGTATGACAAATAAAACAACACAGGTTAGGAACATTAACTTGGATTAAACATTAATCCCTTAAAATCCCTTACATTCGTAATAAATAAACTTTTTTACTACTTTCAATGGATAGAGACAGATTGCTCGGACCCCTTTTTTTGTACCATTTGCGTCAGTAATCCCATAATTTTTCGAGTACTCAGAAGGTATTATGATTCAAGGACAAAAAATTGAGAAAAACACTGAATTGACGACAAAAAGAGACCTACACCGGCTGTGGTGTTGAGAATCAAAATAAAAGCTTTCCCACACCGGGAATCGAACCCGGGCCGCGGCGGTGAGAGCGCCGAATCCTAACCACTAGACCATGTGGGATTGCCTCATACTTTTTACATCTGCTCGTTACAAAACAGTAGTGAACCGGTATCAACATCATAAAATTCCCTGTTGATTACCTTAAAGAGAAAAAAACAAGAAAGTAAAAAGAAGAAGCCTTTGAATCTTCCTTTACTCGTTGGTGAATCACAGGAACTCATCTCAAGAGTATGCTAAACATTTCCTTTTCTTAAATTCCAGGTTCGTCACAATTCTTTACTATTTGAACGACGTTGAGGAAGGAGGCGAAACAGCTTTTATAGTGGCTGATAATTCAACTCTGAACCAATCGGTGAGATCTTAACTTTAATGGACCTTTGTTAATGTTTAAGTATCTTAGAAAAAAATTGGCTTGTATTTTTCACGCTACTCATTTCCAATCCCCTTAATGTTCTTGATCTTTAAAAACCATTGACCTAACTCCTAGAGGTTAAATATTTCTGCAAGATCAGTTTATAAGGCGTCATAGGTGTGGCAAAGTCAGCCCTTCACCCGGTGGTAAATCTATCGGGAGCCCATCCTGGTTTGTAACGGAAGCGTCAAACATCACAAGTACTCCACCTAGAATAATAGGTTATCCGCGGTCAGGTCTCCCCGACATGTTATGGGGGGGAGGGGAAGGGAGGCAGCATTTACACTCCTGGAGGGGAGGGGGGCAGCATAAGAGTGGAGTGACTTGCTTATTAGTAACAAGCTTAGTTTGCGTTTGCTCACAAACTTCTCGATTCAGATACAGTCCAGCGCTGAACTTTATGTCGCCCCACCTCCCACGAGTTTAAGATATTTAGAATTTTAAATTAACAGATCCTATTAGCGAAACGAGGCCAACAAGGAGATCCCTATAATCTCAGTAACTACTGTCAAGACGCCAGTTTGGTAATAGCACCAAAACGAGGCACAGCCGTCATGTGGTACAATCACTACCTTGACTCCGACAGCGAGTGGCTTGGGGATAGAGACCCTTACTCCCTGCACGGAGGCTGTGACGTCAGACGAGGACACAAGTGGATAGCCAATCACTGGATACCAGCGCCATATGAGAATTACCAGCACATTCCCAGTATATATCGAAGAAAAATTAAAAGGGATCATGATTAATTAGATTAATATTTTAAATCGTGATCAGTAGAGATCTGTGGTCCACGCAATGGTGCAATTTTCAATTCAGTGTCCAAAGTAATTCGAGGTTTCTTTGGTTTTTCTCACTTCGCTATGTGAATACTCCTGCAGAAAACTCGCCCCTATTTCTCGACCAATCAGATTCTAAACTATAGCTAATTGCGTTGAGTTGGGTTTTACGACTCTCGATTGAACTGATGTGCTCTGTCTGAATACAAAGAACTTCTTCACCAGCTATTCGGGTGATGAAAATATATAATCCTCTAAATTTATATTAGAAGAATTTATATAAAGTCCGATTTGAAAGAATGTAAAGTTAAGATCTTTGATACCCTTAGAACGTGTTCAGGAAGTTGACAACATTTTTGACGAATTCAAAGGAGAATTCCTGCTGGAAAATAATTAAATTTTTTATGAATTCATAGAAAAATTGCTGCTGGAAAATGAATAATTTTTTTTTTATCAAAATGCTCATCTTTTCCAGCTGATTGTTTTAAATTTGATATTCTACGTTCCAATGATACTTTCCGTGGACGAAGAGTGACCAATTTTTCCCCATTTTGCCATGATAGGTTTAAAGGAAACTTACTGTAATTTTCGAGTCAGAATCATTAAATGTTTTTTGATAAATTGCTGTTGAAATCGAGTACGTTTTCCTTGCATTCCAAGTTTATCAGGCTTATCAAGATTATCACCACTTAAATGAGATTTAGGATACACTATTCCTTACCCGCAAAATAGCATTGTGGCTAATTAAGGCGGGAGAGAGAAAGAATTTTACTGTAGTTTATTTTGAATAGAAAGAAGAATTAGTTATTAATTTTATTACTTTGATTAGAAAGCCATGATCTCGAAAACGATACTTTGATCTTGCTGACACATCTTTGTGATAACAATTGGGCCACATGGAGTCCAATTCATACATAAAGTGTCGTTTTGATGAGATCAAAGTTGTCTATAAACAAATTTTAAGAGTTACTAAATTTTGGGCAAGTGCAGAAATTTGGACGAGAATTCGAACGTCCCATGGCCTTAGACATTGCACCTTCCGTTTCCCCCAGCGCATGTAGCCTACATTCCAAACATATCTTCTTCATTTGAGAGAAACCTGTCGACAAGTGAGACTTTCGTTGACCCAGGGTGTTAGGTATGTTTTCCATTGATGTCGTGTTACTCAAGAGGTAACACAGAGAGTATCTTTTTAAATTGATTCCTCAGTATTGCACTGCACATCCTCTACTGCGCATAAAAATCATGTGATCAGGCGAATAAGCAAGTTCGCATTCCTAGAACACGTCCGGTACTGTTTTTCAATCAAAGGACCAGAAGTAAAGCCGGTGTAGGTCTCTTTTTGTCGTCAATTCAATGTTTTTCTCAATTTTTTGTCCTTGATGGTCTTTATGGGATTACTGACGCTCTTGAACGAGCGCGGTGAGCTATATTTTTATTGCATAATTTTGGTGAACAAATTATCCCCTCTTAATTGGAGAAATTGAAAAAAAATATCGAAGGGAAAAAAAGATAAATCGAGAAGCGTGCACGAAGCCCGTTACTTGAGGATGCAAATTATGACTTTGAAAGCAACGACTCGAGAAACGTTTTGAGTCGATGTTGTTTAAAAGTGCAGGATTTTTCCACAGACTATACATTAAATTATTCCGATGATACGCTCGAGACATTCTTCCTATCAAGTTTTCAACTGTTACCATAAAAACCGTTGCTTCCAGCTACCGCAAAATGCACCGTGAACCGATTAAATGGCGCGCGTGATTAGTGCCAGCACAGGCATAAATGGAGTAAGTTTGGCCCATCATATCTCTTAAACAAGCACGGTGACACATCTGTTTTATGGTAAAAGAAACAGACAATGGTAGGGAACATTTAAGGAAAGTTAGAAAAAAATTTGTTCGGCGATAGCCTGTTTTTCTGAGGAATCAGCTTAACTATTACGGTTTACTTTTCCACTGTTATGATCGGGGCGGAACTTACGCATTCAATGTTAGGAGAACCATTCACTGTCAGCCGAGGAAAAAATTAGCTTAATGGACATAGAAAGAAGGTATCCTGTCGAAAACAGAACAACCACATGTGACTCACATCAAAACAGCCAACGCGAACAGATTTCGTACCTGCAGAATGGCACCAGGAGGTTAAACATCGACATTCACTTTTTTTCGATCGCTAAACTTAGTAACAATCTTAGTTATGAATCTCACCAGAACGTCATTTTTTATGGTTTTATTTAATTTTTTTAAACTTCCAAAATTGGAGGGTACAACAGTCAAAAACAAAATGTTAAAAGAACCGTGTTTTGAGGAAGATCAAGACCTCACCCAATATTCTACTTTCGACGAGTCATTTGATAAAGACGGGAGAAATAGTTTTAAACTTGTTCATCTACAGGGTAAACGGGTGAGTAGGTAACTATTTCTGTTGAATATAATAATACAAGGTAGTAACAAAAGAAATAAGTTTTTAGCTACTATCTGATATTTTTATTATTTCAAATAACTTAGAGGTATTCATTCAAGGACTGAGTTTAGCAATCACTGAGTTGAGACTAACTTTCTTATTCATTTCTATTCAAATAAAAAGTGTTGCTAGGTTCATATGGTAGAGCTGTGGTCTTCGTAACACAATTGATATAACACAATCTATAAGAACATAACTTTGATTTTTAAAATATCTTGATGTGTAATTATATATAACAAACTGTAACATTTTGAAGTTGAAAACATAAGTTATAAACAATAACATCACGGACACGGTTAAGAAAACAAAGATGTCCTACAACCTGGTTGCTTTGACTGGCACCTGCTATATACTAAAAAAGAAGCAAAAACTTGTCTCTTGTGTAGAGAGCACAAAGCATTTCCAATACCTGGAGAGGGCGTCGGAAGATTTTTGGGGAATCACATGGTTTTCAGGGGGTAGGATCAATCGTCTTCAACAGAATGTAAGGGGAGGGGGAGGGGAACGAAGGAAAATTGACTGCCAATGACTGGGATCATTAGAATACAACTGTTGTGACACAACCTTCCGACCCCGAGGTGCGTGATAAGTAATGAGGGATCCCTAACACTCATTAGTAGTTGCATTTAATTAGACAGGTCACGTGCAATGGTTAGAGTTGGAAGAAGGAAGAAGTTACAAGTTGATCACCAGAGCTATGAGGCCATTATTATTTGGTGAGGTTATGTTTGAAGAATTTTTTGTAATGTGGCTATCATGAACAAGTAAAACCAACTGAAAAGGATTGAACTGCGGTGTAATAAATACTGATAAAAAGTCGAATAAATATTGCATATCACATGGGTCTCTAGACTTAACCTTCAACTAAGATAAACATCATTACAACTGAAATAAATACAAAACTAAAAGAATTTAATACAGAAAAATTCTAAAACTGTTCCTTATCCTTAGAAATTCCTCATTTTCTAACCGATGACGAATGCGAGCACGTGATTTCGCTCGCAAAGGAGGCAGGACTCAGCGCTAGTCAGGTTGCTCTTAAATTTGATGAGAAAGACTTGAACGAGGTCTTGAAACAAGTTGGTGGGTATGCTCAATTGCAACAATCCTCTGTTAAATATAAAATCTTTTCCCAGACTAGTTTTGGAACGTGCTTACTCACGTTGTGCACAACGTGGTTTGATCTTCTGATCAGAATGCAAGTTTGGTATGAAATTTTAATTCAAAAGCAAAGGAGGTTGAACTTTTTCTCCCGCGCCCACTGTATGATTTAAAGCTGAGAATTAATTGGAGAAATTTCGCGGGATTATCGAAATATGTACGTAAGCTCTCTATGAATGTATGGACGTTTACATAGTATGTGATAATAATTTTTGCTAGTTTTCTTTCAAGACAGAAATGCAACTCTTGACAAAGAGGATTATTTTGCACGAGACTTGAACGTCTGGGATAGAAACAAAGATAATGTTGTTGATATAGAGGAGGTAAGATAAATTATGGAAATTTCTTTAAATGAATATCGAATATTTATATGATTGATTATAAATGAACTTGTCAACAAAAGTAAGTGTAGTAGCATGATTACACAAGTATTACCTTTTAAATTACGCCAAATATATAATTTATATGAAAAATTATCGTGTTTCACAGCCATTTTTGACACCCCTCACTGGATGATAAAGCGTGTTTAGATTGAGTGTCGAAGAACCAAGGGGACAGGGACAGTTTCGTAAACCAATCAGAGAGCGTTTTAAAGCAAAACAGATGCAATTCCTGTTTACTCCTGATGCCCACTCGAAAATTCTCCTGAAGCCCAAGGGGAAGATAAGACTCTGTGATCTGAACACACGAGTATTTTCATTTTTTGTTTTAAGTTTTCATTAAAATCATAGCTCACTTGGCCCATAAAAGTTCTTTTTTTTTCACAGATCAGAAAATTTGCAAAGATGTATAAATCACTTCACTTGAAACAAGAGGAAATAGTTCAAATGTGAGTATGAAAATGGTCTAACATGTGACGAATTAAAATTTCCTCTCAGTCTCACTCAAAGCAAATGGATGGTATGATATCAATGAGTCACAGTGTGTGGAATATTTCTTTTTATCAAGGTTAGAAAGCTGTGGGTTGGCATTCGATGATAATACCGAAGGTAAATAAGTAAGAATTGAATTGTGCCTTTGATCCAGTACTGACTACGTACTATCGTTTGAAGCGAAATCCTAATTATAGAGTAAGTGAATTAGATTTGGACCTGGGAATGAACTGTGTCACGTGAAGTCCAATTGGAAAGTGACCCAGTCAATAACAAAGTTTTAAGTCGATAGCACTTCTTCCTTAGCCTCAAATTATACGGGTCATGGACTAGAAGGAAATAACTTGATAATAAAGTTTAATTATTAAAAACCTTACTTGATTGTTCCAAGTGAAACTTATAACGTGCATTTACCTTAATTGCTCCTAGAAAAAATAACCACCAATTATTTAAGTGACGGAAATATAAAGAAACTTCTTTCCTATATGAGTTTTCTGAGGACCTCAAGTCCCCAACATAAATTCCGGTACAGCGACCAGGCTTGGTTACGTCAAGACAAAACTGCTGACCACATTTTACGACACCTGCATGAAAGGTTAGTATACGGTATAAAAAAAATTCAAAAAACACATTTTTTGACGGCAGATCGTGAGTAAATATGGGCACTTGAAGGAGAAAATCGTAAATTGGACTCGTAAGTCCATTAAAAGGTTTAAATTAAACCTCAATCAGTAGTCCATTATTTATGGGTAAGATTAAGAATGTAAATGTCTTATTTGTTGCAGAATTGCTAAGTTAACGAAGCTCCCAAGAAAACTGCTTCAAGGTAGTGAATCAATGCAGGTAAAAAAAAAATAGATCATGAGAATCTTATATCGTGCCACTTTACATTTTATTTCAAGTTTACCACTTCCTATGATTGTAGCACCTCGCGTCTATTTTGGAACCACTTTATTCACAAAGTATGAAAATAATTGGTTAAAATTAGATTCACTGCCGTGGAAATGGTCACGTTTTCAAGTTCTCTCATCAGACATCTGATTTGTGTCATTCTCAGGTCGTTCGCTACCAAACATCAGGTCACTATCATGCGCACTTTGACTCTGGTATGGATCCCAGTGTCCCTTGCTGTCATCAAAATGTGGATCTAAGGCCGCCTCAGTGTAGACTTTGCAGGTGAGCTGAGCTGCTTTGCTATAAATTAATCATACCTCATTTGCAGATATTTTCTTTACGTGTTAGGGTAATTTTGAATACATTCAAACAGATATGCTCTTTTTGATTTGTTTCTCAGATTCGTCACTATTTTGTATTACCTCAATGACGTAGAGCAAGGAGGAGAAACAGCATTTCCTCTGGCGGATAATTCCACGATAACTTTTAAGGTAAGAGGTTAGTTCTACCCTAAGAATTAAATATCCAGTTCAATTTTTTGTGGAATTGACCTCTATTGTTAGTCACTATCATCTTTATGATTTTTGTGTTTTTGACCGTTTGCAAGCACACCGTAAGTTATACTTTAAATTTGTAATTTGAATAATTTCTTTCTTACGTACACGTTATAGAAGACTCGAATTTCATTTCCAAATAATGGCGGCGTGGTCACTCAGATTTTCCCAGGCTTCTATTTTTATCTTGATTTCTTATTTTCTTCATTTTGTCACTTTGCATTTTTCTGATTGGCTGTTTCTCTTAAGACACTCAATCCAAATGTGCTCAAATCGAACAACTTCAAAATAAGAGATTACTTATATATCATCAAATATTAGTACATGTAATGACTAATACTTTATTGTAAAATTTGACTCAGGAGCTGCCGAATCCCGAATCAGACGAATTCAATCTGAGTATCAGTTGTCAAATGGCTAATCTTGTTATCCCGCCCAAGAAAGGTACTGCCATCATGTGGTACAACAATTTTATTGACCCGGACAGTGAACTTCTTGGGGACTTGGATGTCAATTCGATTCACGGTGGTTGTGACGTCATTAAAGGAGAAAAGTGGATTGCAAATAATTGGCTAACAGCGCCAACAAAAAACTCTAGACATTTTAAGAGTGCCTATGATGTTGGGTTTGATTGAGAAAGCGGCAGCAAAAGTTCTTAAAAAAAAATCCGCTGTGAAACACCCCTCCACATCGCCAAAGATTGATTACAATCCAGCAGACGGGAAAAGAGGAAATCAGTCATTTATAAGCTTTGATGATTCCCGATTGTTTTGTTTTAAGGGCTGCTAAAGTCTGTTACGTCACAAGCCTTCGACCTAAGATAAGGGAGTGAATCATTTTTCCCTCTACCTAATATCTAGTATAAAACGCGTATAGTGACTCACGCCCCGCTCATAATGTAAATTTGTAAAGGCTTGAATGGGGAAACCACGAACCAAAGTGATTAAACTCGTATCCTTATATTTTGACAACCAAAATAAACTTACCTCTGTAACTTAATGTCTTGTTTGTAGATATTTATCCAAACTTGCTATACCATGTAATAATTTAGGCATGGCGAACGTTCTTATTCGGGGAGTATTTTACTTAGGGCTGCATGTTTGATATCCTATCCTAATCCTGATATCCTAGGACAATGTCCTGATGATCAGGTTTGGGTCTAATAAAATGGCTATTAGTATCAGAAGTCCCACGTGGTCTAGTGGTTAGGATTCGGCGCTTTCACCGCCGCGGCCTGGGTTCGATTCCCGGCGTGGGAACTTTTCATTTTGATTGTCTTCTGAACTGGTTATTAATTTTTGTGCGAACGATTTACCTTCATAGCTAGAATCCACATATTTTAACCCAAAGGAGAAAAAAACAACAACAAAAACATAAAAAAGTAAAAGTTAAAACAACAAAACAACAGAAAAAGAAAGCAAAATAAAAACAACATCTCTCTTTGCTGAGCTCATGAATATAATGATGGGTAAGTATCAATGAAGAGAATCGACATTAAGTATTTATCTTGGAGACCGGCCATTCTTCATCGCCGGAGAGGGGTAGAGGATTTTGGTTGTCTCTAAATAAAAGTTATCTGAGCAAGAAAGACGATAGGCTTATAAAGACAAGCTAAACTAATTTAAAATTTCTGTTTTCACCAGTTTTAATCAAATCCTGTATCAAACATGCTCTTGATGTGTTTTGAGTATTTGGTTGGCGCTGTCAGCCAATTGTTAGCGATCCATTTCTCTCCCTTGATGACGTCACATCCCCCATGATACGTGGAGCGGTCCACTGCTCCGAGCAGACCACTGTCTGGGTCGATGAAATTGTTGTACCACATAATGGCCGTGCCCTTCTTTGGAGGTAGTACTAGGTTCGCTGAATGACAATTGATGCTGAGATTGAATTCATTTGTCGCGGCTTTTGAATTTTCAATTTCCTGAAAATAATCCAAATCAAACAAAGGAAAGAATAATTCCCCTTGAAGCTCGATGCATGCAACACTACTAGCTGTGTGCATGCTATGCTTGTGTTTTAGTGCAAACACGACTCACTTTCTTATGCATATTTTTTGGGTAAAAATTTTTCAAGACGATGCCGCAGTTTACTGCAGAAAGTCTTCAGGGACATGCTGTTACTGGTATTTTAAGCCAAGGGTAAACTAAGAAATATCATACGAAGAGGTCGCCTACATATACGGCGCTCTAGTGAGCAAGGTCAAGTATGCATCGAGAGCTTTAGCACTATAAGATCAGTACTTCTGCACAAAAAAATAATTCATTAGCATGTTATGATCTTCAAGATTAAATAATATGATATATCTCTTTGGTTAGTAAAATTCAGACTTAATATTTAATATTTAGGAAAGAGATCTTGGAGGAAAAAATGAATCAGTATCCCTTACCTGCCTCTGTATTTGTGTTCTATGAAAGACCATTAGGTTGCTTTGTTCATTAAGAAAAAGATTGTCAAATTGGAAACTACGGTTTTTTCTCTTTTCATTTTCTTTTTTTTCCTTGAAGAATTGCGTTGTCTATGATCATGATCAGTTGTTGATATCCTTGTTGAATAAGCTACCCATAGTGTATAAGCTGCGTATTTGAGTATGCGGAAAGTTGAGTTACTTACATCTGGAGTGGTTGTAGTGTTATCAGCTATCAAGAAAGCTGTTTCTCCTCCTTCTTCTACATTGTTAAGATAATACAAAATAGTGATAAACCTGAAAGGGAAAATTTGGTCATATCACATGGTAGTTAAAAAACCTCGTGACCCACCATAAGCAAAACTTAACCATGATAATCCTCACTCCCTCACCCGAATACACACTCGATCATTCACTCATAAATTAAACTCACTCGCTCACTCATTCACTCATTAGATCACTCACTCCTCTTCAATCCAAAGGTTTCGTGCGAACCCAGTCACTCATTCACTTACACAATAATTCGTACGCATCCAATCACTGATACACGTATCCACGCACTCATATAACGCATGCGCGCACCAACTCACTGAGTCACTGACTCATTGACTCATTGACTCGCTGAAACACTGACACTTTGATTCACTGACTGACTGGTTGACAACTCTTTTCAGTCTCACTCACTCAATCACTCGTTCGTTCTGTTTCTCACCCAACGTTCGCTCACTCGCTTTCTTGTCCATTCGTACGCAGCTCGTAAGTACTATAGTTTTTTCTTTGTTTCATTTATTCTTCGCCATTCTTTCAGATGCATTTCCCGAGTAACCTCCTAGGGTGAAAATCTTACCTACAGACTCTGCAGTCGGGTGCTCTGAGATGGTTTTGATGACAGCAAGGGACTGTGGGGTCTTTTATGGTAGAATCCAGGTGGCCGTGATAATGACCAAACTTCTCATAACGAAGAACCTAAAAAGTGAAAAATAGCAAACTTTCTCAAAATTCACAAGACTTCGAAATGGTTCCACGTGTAGCAGTGGTTACATTTTACCAGGCAGGAAACTCAATGGCTTTTCAATCACTGCTGTCGTGCACACTCGTCTCAACAAGTAAGAAATCAAACAACCCGTTTGGTATATTATCATTAAAAATTCGTTATTTTAAGACTGTTAGAAATTTCAGGACCGATTTATTAGTGATTACAGTAAGTAAGTTCCCACGTGGTCTAGTGGTTAGGATTCGGCGCTCTCACCGCCGCGGCCCGGGTTCGATTCCCGGCGTGGGAAAGCTTTATATCATTCAAGGAATTATTTTTTAACTTCATTTTACAAGTGATATGAAAATTTATGGAGTTTAATTTCCTTCTAAATGTGATTAGCATATCTAATATCCTGCAAACAGCAACTGGATCGGCACAAAATCGTTATTTACCTGCATTGGTTCTCCCCCTTGGACTATCTTCCTCGGAAGCTTGGTTAGCCTTATAACCCTGACACAAAATACATAGATATTTAATGCGCCAAACCTTACAAAACTTAATCTTATAGAATCTCTCTTGATTTCAATCGCTCATCCTGGCAATATTTTGTCATTGACTCAAATTTCAAAATACCTTTCATGAAGACGTCTCAGAACAGGGTCAGCGGTTTTGTCCTGCCGTAACCAGGCCTGCTGGCTAAAACGAAACCTATGGCGTGGGCTTTTGTCTTTCAAAAAATTCATGTACCGCATTATCTTGTTGATATTCAACTTGTTGAAAAATTGCTCTGTTATTCTCCCTGAAATTTAACAAACATTCATTCAGTTCTTTTTTGTAAATGGTTCAGATAGTTTCCGTGAGGTAGCTTTTCACATTTTGAGTGATAAGAAATTTATGTTGACAAGGGTTATATTGTTCCGATCATGTCTCTGTGGAAAGTCTACACGTATCTTTATTTATTTTACCTACCATCTCTGAGCTCATCAGCGATTTGAAGGCGTTTAACCCTAAAAGATAAAAAGTCGTTGATTAAGTAACGGCCCATAAAGTTGCCGGCACTTTTGGGAAACATGCCCCGGCTACGAGAATCGAAATCAGGCGGCAGCACGAGAGAGCATGCGCTGTCACCATTGCAACATCCTTACTCTCCAAATGTCAAGAAGCGTCAAAGGTACGATAAACTTTATAATGCACAATCCTATACGTTTCTGTAGGAGATTTCTCTTGCATTTTCTCATCAGCTGGCTTCATTCATTTCCTACCTTCACGTTTCAAGGTAACCTCCTGAGAACCGTGTAAACCTGTTATAGACAACTGCTTGTTGAAACTAGAGTAATACTTATAAGTTGAATACTCTACTAATCCTGAGAAAGTAATGCGGTCATGGGTTCATGTCGTCATAAAATAAAGCCTAGCGTTTTCAAGTTCGTCGTTTGTAATCTGTATTATTCTTCTTCATCCTTAAATCATAAATTTCCTCTTTAACTGCTCCTTTATGGTTATTCCTTACATTGCAAAAATGAGCCGAAATTCTCGGGACGCTCTATTTTTTAACAAAGGGAAAACAACTACAGTCAAATGTTCTTACATTTCTTGCACTTCTTCATCATTCAGATAGAGTTGTTTGTGTTTTCCAGCAAATGCCTTCACCTTCAACAATAAAAGCAATTTGATTTTTTGGTAAACGATCATGAGACCTCCGAGCACTTTAATTTTATTACATTACGCAAGTGACTTCCCAAATGCAGTACCTCTTGTGCATCAATGGAACCATCACCATTTGCATCCCAAAGACTGTAGTTTCCAGCAAATGCTTGCTCAGGTGCGAGAGTCCAGTCACTGTCTTAAAAGAAATAGGTCAGAGAGATGTTTTCTGCTGGCTTATTGTGGAGTGTGGTCAATATCATAATATATCTCAATATCATAATGGATTTTAGACTTCTTTAATAATCATGGTTGAGCTGGAATACAGTTAAAGTACTCACGAGAAAAAAAGAATCTGATCCCGACAAAAAAAGGCTCAATTTAATTTCCTTGCATTGTTCACGTGTAGCAGGGTCATTAGCTGACTTGCGCACACCTGTTGCGGCTTACCACGTTTCCAAATTTTTTTGCTTCATTAAAATGCTCAAAAAAATTAATTGATCTAAACTCTGAAAATTGTTTTGGTCATTTTCCGTAATTCTAGATCCAGCTCACCAGCTAGGGCTAGTTCCTCGTCCAAGTCTCCGTCGTAGGTGAAATATCCTGAAGTACTTGTCTGGAGTCCACTTTCCTTTGCCAGTGTTATGATGTGATCACACTCTTCCTCTGACAAGAAGTCGGGAATCTCTACGTATAGCGAAATCACAACTGGGAGCATTAGAAAACTTTCGAAAAAATATCGAGTATCCAAAGCATTTGGGAACCTATGCTCCGTGAGTATGCGGTTAGTTTCTCCTTCCACGAAGGAAAGAGAAATCAGTGCAGCAAACGTTATTTTGTTTGATGTATTCGTCATCCAGCACCCTGGACGAATTTATTAACTTTGATTCATTCGCCAGTCTATCGAATTTTTCGGTTTCCCAACACATATACCCTAATCCATGTCGCAGCTACGTTTGATAAGGCGAGCAGTGTGGCAATATAAATGGCCATCAAAGCTCAGCGAACTGTCTCTAAGGGTTAACGAGAGTCCATTTCTCTCTAATTGTCCAATCCAAGAGGCTGGAAATGTGGATCATCTGGAAAATGCATAATTGTTGAGCTGCTGTCCGAATTCTACTGCGGTCGAGTAGGTCCTCGCAGCCAAGTAATGTCAGGGTGTTGGCATTTGCGACTACAACAACAGCAATTGTCTCACAATGACAGATTCATAGTTTTAGTTTTTTTTTGTGTGCTTTTTTTTTATTTTACTTCCCATCTACCTATGAATACCACAACAGCATGGCAACTATAAACCGTTGAGTGACTATGCAATGCGAGCAGTTATGAAGTTTAATCAAATTGTATGGGAGCCCTTGTTACCAGAGAGCGGAAGTCTATAGAGGAGTTGCATTTGACCGTACTTTCAGCTAAATTCACCGTGCAATATACATATAAATTCAACTATACCTTGTTGATAACTAATGCGACCACTATGCGCAGTGCATGTAGAATAAAGTCAAATCCAATTTGGAATTTTCTGTGAGCACGGTTAGCTCAGTCGGTAGAGCATCAGACTTTTTTTTTCCTTTTGGTTGTCAACACTTCATTTTATCAGTGTCTTACTTAAAACTGATCTAATTCGAAACAATTCTTAAAGAAAATATCACATAAATACAACTTCACGAAAGAGTTACATACCAAGAACTAATGGTGTCATTGCTCGAGTGATGAGTTTTATGGGCTTCCTCTCATCGTCGACTTCCAACCACTGCACGTGACCTGTCTGTACGCAGACGATGTAAATGAAAAGTAAATACCCTTCCCTTACACTTTGAAATGGATTGTGTAACCTTTTTTATCTTAAATCAAAAGCAAATAATTGAATAAAATGGTTTAAGAATCGTGAACTTGACACCGGGATATAAATGCTGAATAATCATTGGGGATGTAGAGGCAGTATTCGCATGGTGAGGCAAGTCTAATTGGTCCATAAGAGAGGAACAACCTTCGGATTGTTATGAATTAAAACAAACAGTTGAAACAGATTTAAGTTGGTAGACAATGTCGGGTGGCGATTTTTATGAATGCACTGCATGGATTTTGAATGCATTCGCGTAACTTCAAATGAAGCTGTTGCATGGATTTGCCCCACCTACGTATTTGATCAAAACTGAACGTGCATTTTACTGAGATCAAAGTTTTCTAGTACAAATAAATCAAGGACGCTTGATAAACATCTGAATGTGATTTCATTCTCTCTTATATTTCAAGATAACTACGTACGGGGAAATTGGAATTTATCGAGGAAATCAAACACTGAGAGATTTCAACTGCGTAAGCAAGGTAGCAAAACGTGATTACTTGACTGTGACAAGCCACACATAGAAAAAAACAATTTCGAATTTAGCGGAGAGGGAAGACCAGAGTTAACAGGTGCGCTTTTTTACGAACAAAGCTCTTTTCTCGATTGATTTCTGTTTACCTGCACTTGCAACCAGCTAAGAATAACAAAAAAACACAACCTGTGCCAACAACTTGGAAACTGGTATTAGAAAGCAAAAAAAAAAAGCCAGTCGGTGACCTACGGAACTTATATAAAGTTTCACCGAGAAAAAGCCAGTTTCCTTTTCTAGGTACATATACGTATTAATAACTATTTATTTAGTTACCTTCACTCCCTCCAAGCGGACAAGCTTGAACTGTTTGTCTGATTTCCCGTGACAAGAGTTACTTGGATCTGTGCACGTGTTTTCTATTTGATCTCCGACAAAACAAGGTTTCCAAAATTTCTTCAAATTACCACGATCACCACAGGTCCCATTTAAAAAAGCGGAAATGAAAACTACGCGAAATATCCACACAAACCTCATCTCCTACCCATCCCTCGGATTTTCGAATAAAGAAATTCTAATTTTCAAGCGAAATAATTGTGTACACAGAAGAATTTAACAGTCAAAGTTAATTATTTACTCATTCGCTCTTTTCATACTTTTCCAGGGTTTTACACGACGTATCTAACTAAACTTGTCGTTTCTAATCACGTGTTTGTAAATCGAGTGCTCAAAGTGAATTCCTTTCCAAGTGAAACTGATATAAAAAATTGTGCTTTCGAAACCATGAAGCCATATTGTCGTGGGAGCAGTATGATCCATTTGAGATCACTGGCATCACATATTCGTCAACCATGAATTCCACCGATGAGATAACATGTTTCTTCATGGAAGTATATTGGACAAAGACAGTACACGATGTCACAGTGAGTGTCATATCATGTCTACTTAGCAGCATCTTTGCGCTGTCTGCAGTATTTGGAAATGGAATCGTCATGTTCGTAATCTGGAAGAAACGAGAACTTCATTCGCCATCGTTCGCTCTGTTATTTTTTTTAGCATCGTCTGATTTTCTTGTGGGATTTGTTGGCCAGCCCTCATTCGTTGCCTACAAGGTAGCGGAGAGTCTCAAAAAATTCAACGCGTATTGTAACTTGCGAATGATTGAGTTCTTTTGTGGATGGATAACTTCGAGTGTGTCCTTTATCATCCTTGGTGCAGCTTCTGTCGACCGACTCCTCGCCTTAACGCTTCACTTGCGATACAAAAGCACGATCACAGTGTGCCGCATTACGATAGCCATGATAGCAGTGTGGGTTTTTTGCTGTATTGTCACTATTTTGAAGTTTTGGGTTCGAAACTGGGTCATCATTCCGGTTTCTTTTGTTGTTGTGAATATTTTTTCATCCACATTTTGCACGTGGAAGATATATCAAATTGCACGAAGACATCAAAGCCAAATAAATAGCCAAATTAAAAAAATAGCTCACTTGAGAAACGTACGAAACAGGTCACAAAACAACCCAGTTGATGCTTTTAAATGTAAAAAATCAGCCACTACCGTAATCTATCTTTATGGTATTATGCTGATGTTTTATCTCCCATTTATTGCAGTCAGTGCTGTAGAAGCGATTCAAGGCTATACGTGGTCGATAAAAATCGCTTATGATTATGCTACAACGATTGTATTCATAAACTCGTCGGTAAATCCTTTTATTTACTGCTGGAGAAATTCGCAAGTACGCCGAGCCATAAAAAACTATTTGAGAAAGCTGAGTTTTCGTGATAATTCAGGTACAGCTGGGGGAACTGTACATTCTAATTAAAATTAAACATGATTCAGTTTGATGATTGTCTGACTACAGATGCTTAGCCTACCTACATTAATGATTTAAATAACTATATGATTATTGGTACAGATTAATTTTTTGGTCGGAATAGGAAAATAAAAACTTGTTAAGCTTTAGCCTAAGAGATGTTTGCCTCATTATATGTTCCATTTGGACATTTATCAGTCGTTCTAAAGATAAACAGCACGTCCGACACTGGACTGATTGTCGCCAACTTCAACTTTTGATCTGTCTGAGTTTAATCAATTTACTCTTTGTGTACCATGTTTATTTTCACATGTTTATTTTTTATATAAAATCAGGTGAGAATGCTCCCTTGGTGATCTAAGAGGTAACAAAGACGAGTAGCGATATATTCTGCAACTCTTTTTATATTCGATCTCTTTAGCGAATGTTTGATAACCAGTGGAGTGACGTTTCAATGTTCTTTCAATGGAACTTCAAGTTGCGATGACCGCATAGGAAATATGACAAGTCTGTCACCACTATACACTTCGCCTGTCACCATTCAACATTAGCAAAATGTCAGTTATTATCCTTTTATGAAAAAATTAAAACATTGATAACAATCGATAAACTGCCATTCTATAAAAAACTGTCCATTGTCACAGTGGCTTATTCCTAACAGTCAATTGTCAGAGATAACACCTCCTTGAGACTTTCCAATTTTTTTATGATCATTTTCCTGTAGTATAACGTCTGCGTGCTAGTGTCAACAAAAACTGTGTGTTAATATACAGTTTTAATTGCGGGACCGTTTGAATTCGAATAAGTGTTTTAAAATTTACCGTGTTCAAAGACTTTGAAAACTTACCGTGGATATCAATGTGACCGTCAAAGCTCTCAAATTAACCAGTCACAGCCAGAAGCATCTGTTCGCCGTCTTTTTATCTTCCTCGTAAACGTTAGACGCGTTAGAGAGTCTATCTATCGCTTATCCACGTCCGTCAGAACCGTCAGCCTAACCGTTAAAAGTAACTGATAGGGGAGACATGGAAGGGGTTAAGGACTTTGATCATTACGGTGTTAAATCGGGTAGGGTTTGGAAAAGAACTAGGAATATGCATTCACGTGTTCATCTTTTCAACTATTGACAGAAAGTAGAGGAACACAATTGAAATTGGCAAAATATTTCATTCGAACAGCAATGTGGAAGTCAATTTTTAGCCCTCGTCTTCTGGACTGATGCAAAACTCAAATATATAAGAAAGAAAGAGCCCTGAGTAACGCAAACTATGTGGAACTTGCAGACACAATATGTGGAGCTGGGCTTGGAATTTTGGGCCTCGTCTTCAAACTGACGTGGAAATCAAAATGACATATAAGCGCAAAATAGTATTTGGAAATCATGCGGCAGTGATAGTTGCTCAACAGTGTCCCGCGCGTGAATGTTATACACAGACTTCTCAAATGCGCGTGCAATTACATGGGTGATGTTGATTCCTCTGTAGTCTGTCTTTCCCTTGGGAACGTCAACCTTGTGAATGGGGGTTACGTGAGCTCTTTTCTACGATGAGGGCCAAGTACTGAACGTCAGGGACAAGTTCCAGATCCTGCACATTAAACGTGTAAAAATTTCCGCGTGGTCTCTCCACACCCAGAACGGTATGAGGTCCGGTCCAGTGGCGGTTTTCTTCAGGTGCTGCAAACAGTTCCATAACAAATCAAAACAATCACAAAATTCTCGAACGTGCTCGGTTATCACCAGTTCGATTTGAGCACCAAGAGGACAATGTACGCGTCATGCTTGTAATTGGACAGTGTCATAGGATAGTTGACACGTCATGCCTATGTCAGTGGACAGTACCTGCGCTGTTGTTGTGCATTTTGCCGAGTTATCTGTTGCTCAGTTTCATGAAAACGTATCACCTGTTTGATTTATCAAATTTTGTCATAGTTGAGCCGGATTAATTGATAAAAGGACTTCTTGTCGTCCAATTCTGTCTTTTATTATACTCGTATTTATTAAATTGGACACCCGCTACGCGGCCGTCCGATTTTGTCATCGCCCAGAATGCTATTGTCTTTCGCGACACGTACTTGCAGTGCCCATTTAATCAGCGGGCAGCATAATAATTTGCATATCCTGAACTAGTCGGTTGTGATTGGTCAGCAGGTAAAGCTTTGGGAATACATGAGTCTCTTTGCAGATTTCAGCTGCTGTCAATCAAACGGTTGGATGCGTAAAGTAAATCCCAAGGTGACATAAAGTGAACAATAGCAATAATTAACAATAGCCACGCTCTTAACAAAGCGTTTAGCAAATTCGTTTGCAGCGAATTCTTATATGGACTGACAGACTCCCGTTGGTCAAAATGTTATCGGAATTATAAAAATTAGTATCATGAAAATAGAAAATAGAAAAAAGAAAAATTTAGAAAAAAAGTATCATGAAGAATCTACTTCGTTAAAATCGCTTCAAACGGTAGAGAAAAATATGAGCGATGCTTCCGACAACCGGCTTGTGAGTGCGACGATCGTCGAGATAGAACTAGAGTCTATCTTGCGACAATAATAGGAGTGTGGTTTCCATATGATAGTAACGATAGCTGAATATTTCTGCAGCGATCTCAGCGATCATATCTTAAAAGCTTTTACAGTTTTTTAAGCATTGTCTAGTTACCACCTCAATTTCAATACTAATTAGGCGGCATGTGCGCGATTGTTTGCGGAGGCGGAGCTTAGCATACCTTGATATTCTCGCGGGAAGTTTAAAATAGGTCACTTGTATTCTCGTGGGGGTCTCCAAAGGACAAATTTGGATAGAACACTACGATGCTTAGCAAACGTTTTCGAAATTCGCGTTTTGCGACTACTTCCAAAGTTTGGAATCCCTTGAAAATTTCTATGACGCTTTCTAGAATGTCAAATAAAAATAACCATATGGTAAAAGAGAAATCTAGCAATTGAGTGAAGATAAATTACGCCTGAAAGTGCGCTGAGATCGACTTCTCATACAAGCAGGATGCTAACATAGTCAATTTTCAAGGCAAATTTGCGACCTCTTCTGAAAGCGCAAGAACAAAGTGAGAATGATACACTATTCAATTGAACTTTCTTCTTTAAAAGCCATATGGTGAAAGTAGCATTTGAAAAGTAGTTTATCCGTAAACGAAGAGAACGTAAGCCTTCCTCGACATTTTCAGCCCTTTTCCTTTATTGTTTGACAATCATTTTCTAATTAGCTTTTAAATTTAGCGCCAGCGTCTCAATGAAAGTCCCGGATATGTCGCTGAATTCTGGGCGATGTTATTCGTTCGTATGATTACAGACCAAATTCGACTTCACTGAGTCCTATTATCATTATTCATAGATTACTGGTTTAACGATTGACTCATTAACTTTAGTACATTTAGTAATTAGTACAAGTGCACCTCAAAACTTTGCAATGAATCTGGGAATCCAAACTGAAGTCAAAATGATATCAGCTTTTACCTTTATCTACTCTACTGTCCTCCTTTCTAACTTACTTTTTATTCCATGATTCTGTCTGTTGATTTGACGCTCGTGCGTGCAAGCGATATGAAAAACTTTATCTGAGCAAAACGCAGGTGTTCTAGTTGCCGATTAATGAACAAAAAACACCGATAATGATTCAGTTTCGCACCCAAAACTTAAATAAAGTTGCGATTGAGCGCTCAAAGTCCCGTTTGTGAATTCAAGGTGTCAGCAGTCTGGCCCTCTATCGCAGAGAGATTCCCAACCGCACGTTCACGAGTTACAATATATTCAATGAAAATTTTAGAATTACAGCGAGATGTCGGTTGGAGAGAAAGAGGGCACCGTGTGAAGCTCCATATAATTAACATAACAATGCCTTCTTCTAATATTGCAGTCAATGTAACCAGAGCGTACAAATCACATATATAAAACGAAACATCCAGTTATTTCTAGCCCGTCAAAATTGCCTTTAAATTCAAAGAAAAACATGTCAAGTTGGTTTTACTCACAGCCGATATAGACTTGTTGACCATTCAGTACCACTTTGCACGAAGTGTGAAAGGTTTTTGAAGTGGCCTTTTGTGAGTCAAATTACATGCTTGGGTAATCAAAATTTCTGGCCACTTAAAGAAATGTTACAAATTAAAAAGTAAATCTACTCATGCAAGTCACATTAGGCGCCTCAGTATACTATGCACCTGCAAATACAATAGATATAGCGACATGTTTTTTCCGTAAATTTCGTCCAATTTAATCAGTTACAATCGACTGTTTGAATATCTGATTCATTGCCAGAGGTCCTATTAAGCCTTTCCTAAACATCCAAAAGAATTCTGGGGCTTTCGCAAGATGAAAAAGATAAGGCAACATGAAAACGGATAAATATATTTTTTTGTTATTAGTATATGGGCAAATAAGGGCAGATGTCTGAGAATGTTGGTCTTTGGTAGTTATTCCCTTTTTTCTGCCTGATAAAAACTTGAAACTTTGCAATGTCAACATTAAATAAATTCAAAGACCGCTTGCTTCTTTTAAGTTTATCAAAGAACAAAATTTCCAAATATATAAAGATCTGGCTCCAGTTGTATAAAGGGCGCAGAATGCTATCCGGAGGATAATGAATCGCTATCCAGCGGATGAGTGATGGCAAACCGTACAGCGTTATCCACCGGATAGATATTATCCTGCAGATAGCGTTTCCCGACCTTCGAACAACCGGGGCCTGATTACTGATATGTTATAGCACAAGAGGGGAATCGATAAAATTCAGTCACAAAACTAATCAAGGCTGATACTTATTTTATTTCTCAGTTCTTCGAACTGACAGTTTGAAATCATAGTGAATGGCGTCTTCTTGTAAACAAACAACGTTTTTTATTTTCATCCTGGCCCCGAAGGGTGGATAACGCTATGCACTGGATAAATCACTATCCTTTAAATAGCACAGTATGTTTTGTGAAACACTTATCCGCTGGATAGCGATTTATCCGTTGGATAGAATTATTCGCCCATCGAACAAACAGGGCCTGATTTCTGGCATGCTGCTGGTAACCCGAATGGACCTCTAGTCTATAAAAG